GTTATTGCGTTTGGTAATAACTTGTGATTTTTTATTCATTTCTATTTCAAGTACTTTCCAGGATAAGCCTTGGCCTTTTTTATGCTTATAGTACTTTTCCCTTTCAGCTCTTTAAGAAAAGAAACAAAAAGGAACAGAGATATTATTACAAAAATGGTTCACTTGCATGTTGATAGAATTTTCATTGCTTTGGAAGGCCGGTTCAAGATATTCAGAAAGAGCTATCGAGAGCATCCCTTACTCCTTGTGTATGCTACATGATATGTTGTGAGGGTTGGTATATACTAGGGCCTAGTATATAGCTGTTGACCAAGAACGGAAGGCACAGCTACATGTAGGTCCACAATATCATTTATAGATGGTATTACTAGTTATAATGAGATCATTTGGACCATGAAAATCACATCGTTATCATATCTTGTTACATCAGAGCTTTTTATAAATAGTTTCTACTGTCTAATTTATTCAAAATGGGTTTGATGTACATGTACTTCCATTATTTTGAATATCAGAATTGAATGTATGTTCACTTTCATTTGTATTCTACTAAAATGGCCGGCCGGACTTCATATCCTATTCCCATTTTATATTCTAACACAATGTGGAAAGTTTTTATCCAGGCTACCAGCTACACAATCAAAATGATCATAAATATATACCTGACAGATAGTTATCATGGTAATAATTGTAATTTTATATACAATACTCTCCTTTGTAGTGTTCATAACAGAATGATTATGACAGATGAATCAATTAATGAGTGAGAATGATTATGTACAGTATAAATAGAGAGAGAGAGAGAATGAGAGAGAAGTGGCGCTTGGAATGAGATGAAAGGGGGCATTTAGTAATTAATTGGCAAAAGTGTTTTAAATAAATCATGTTAGATGCAAAAAATTGTCAGAGACACATAGTTTTTCCAAAGTACACTAGTATAGGAAAACAGTAACAATTTACCAGTAAATGAGCATAAAATTGCTTCACTTAATCTGATTTATCAACATTCCTAGACCTACTACCAAAGCTTTAAAAAAATCTGATTTCCTTTGAAATAATTTAATGTTCATAGCAATTACTTCATTGCTCGAAGATGATAGTTTTGTATCCTCAGATTTTAAAGATTATCTGAAAAATCTTAGTGCTGTCTCTATGGTGGCCCTGAAGGGACATCGCGAATAGACTAAATCGTGAAAAATATGCGATAAAATTCACGATATCGTCAATTTTATCGCATATTTTTCACGAAGAAATTCACGAAATTGACGATATCGTGAACTTTATCGTGAACTTTTCACGATGAAATTGACGATATCGTGAATTTTATCGTGTACTCTATCGTGTACTCTATCGTGTACTCTCCTGACGGGCGCTTCGTAAACAAAACCAGCCCTAGCTGGGGGAGACAGAGAGAAGGAAAAAAGGGAAAGGGAAAGAGAAGATAAAAGGAAAGAAAGAATAATAAGAAGAAAAGAGGGAAACGGGGGGGGGGGCGAAGGGCTCTTGCCTCCTCCTCACTCCCCCCCCCCCCGCCAAAAAATAAATAAGGAGAGAGAGAAGGGAAAGGGAAAGGGAAAGAAAATATAAAAGGAAAGAAAGAAGAGGAAGAAGGAAAGAGGGAAACGGGGGAAGGGCGAAAGGCTCTTACCTCCCCCCCCCCCCCGCCAAAAAAATAAATAAGAGAGAGAGAGAGAGAGAGAGAGAGAGAAGGGAAAGGGAAAGAAAGAAGAGGAATAAGAGGGAAACAGGGGAAGGGCGAAGGGCTCTTGCCTCCTCCCCCCCCCCCCCCGCCAAAAATAAATAAGAGAGAGAAGGGAAAGGGAAAGAAAATATAAAAGGAAAGAAAGAAGAGGAATAAGAAGGAAAGAGGGAAACGGGGGAAGGGCGAAGGGCTCTTGCCTCCTCCCTCCCCACCCCCCGCCAAAAAAATAAATAAGAGATAGAGAGACAAGGGAAAGGGAAAGGGAAAGAGAAGATAAAAGGAAAGAAAGAAGAGGAAGAAGAAGAAGAAAAGAGGGAAACGGGGGCGAAGGGCTCTTGCATCCCCCCGCCCAAAAAATAAATAAGAGAGAGAGAGAGAGAGAGAAGGGAAAGGGAAAGAGAATAAAAAAGGAAAGGAAGAAGAATAAGAAGAAAAGAGGGGCTCTTGCCTCCTCCCCCCTCCCGCGCCAACAAATAAATAGGAGAGAGAGAGAGAGATAGAGAGAAGGGAAAGGGAAAGGGAAAGAAAATATAAAAGGAAAGAAAGAAGAAGAAGACGGAAAGAGGGAAACGGGGGAAGGGCGAAAGGCTCTTACCTCCCCCTCCCCCCTCCCTCCATAAAGGGAAAGAGAAGGGAGAGGGAAAGAAAATATAAAAGGAAAGAAAGAAGAGGAAAAAGAATAAGAAAAGAGGGAAACAGGGGCGAAGGGCTCTTGCCTCCTTTCTTTTCTTTCTTTTCCTTTCTTTCCTATTCTCCCTCTTTTTCGTTTTTCTCTTTCTTTCTTCTCTTTCCCTTTCCTTCTCTCTCTCGCTCTTATTTATTTTTTGGCGGGGGGCGAGGGGACGAGGCAAAAGCCCTTTGCCCCCGTTTCCCTCTTTTCTTCTTCTTCCTCTTCTTTCTTTCCTTTTATCTTCTCTTTCCCTTTCCCTTTCCCTTCTCTCTCTCTCTCTCTCTCTCTGATTTATTTTTTGGCGGGGGGGGGGGGGGAGGGGGGCAAGAGTCCTTCGCCCTTCCCCCGTTTTCCTCTTTTCTTCTTCTTCCTCTTCTTTCTTTCCTTTTATCTTCTCTTTCCCTTTCCCTTTCCCTTCTCTCTCTCTCTCTGATTTATTTTTTGGCGGGGAGGGGGGGGGGGAGTGAGGAGGAGGCAAGAGCCCTTCGCCCCCCCCCCCCCCGTTTCCCTCTTTTCTTCTTATTATTCTTTCTTTCCTTTTATCTTCTCTTTCCCTTTCCCTTTTTTCCTTCTCTCTGTCTCCCCCAGCTAGGGCTGGTTTCGTTTACGAAGCGCCCGTCAGGAGAGTACACGATAGACTAAAACTAAAGATCGCTAGAATCGTTCCTGTTTATAAAAAAGATGATCGTCATGCTTTTGAAAATTACAGGCCTATTTCAATCTTACCTTCTCTGTCTAAAATATTTGAAAAATGTATGCACAAACGTTTCTATTCTTATCTGAGTAGCAATAATTATATTATCAACAATCAATATGGATTCCGCTCAAATCATGCAACTGTGCATGCTTTGATAGATTTACAGGACAAAATAATTACAGCCATAAAAAATAATAATTTTGGAATAGGCATATTTATGGATCTTTCCAAAGCTTTCGATATTGTGGATCATGACATACTTTTATATAAGCTTAATTACTTTGGTGATAGGGGTATACCACTTCACTGGTTTCAGAGTTATTTACATATTAATTAAAACTATATTGGTAGGCCCAAAAGATAAACAATTGAAATAAGATCATCATAATCTGTTGGCATATATATATATATATATATATATATATATATATATATAAAGTAAAAACAAAAAGAAGTATAACAAGATTATAAATAAGTTAAGAACATATTTATGTATTTATGTTAAATATTAAATAATCAAACTTTAAAACAAAAAACAAAAGAAAACACACATATTGTAAAATGTGTAATAATTATGAAATTAAGACAACTGCGTATTCCATATTTGTTATGATAGGGTTACAATATTAGATCTTCATGTATTTTCTCCAAACTGATTTCCAAGGCTGATATTAATGTGTCATTGTACAGATTTTATGCAGTCTGGACATGAAAGTTGGGGTAGAAAAGTAGCTTATGGAGGATAAAAGAACAGCTGATTCAGCTCTGAGGGCTTTTACTACTATAATCCATCTAACCATTGCAATAAAATACATTAGGAAGTGACTGTACATTGTAAGTCTGAAATAAAGTATAAATACAAGTCAGCTGATAATGCAACATACTTCATTTAGATAACCTATTTAATATTGCAGGACTCTGAAAAGAAACCACAACAAGCAAAAAAAGTTCAGGTTAGAATGAAGCACCACTCGATGAAACGACCGGAAGTTTTATCAGGATCATCTCTAACTACCGTACACTGATACTGACGCTGATGCTGATGAGGCCTAAAATAAAAACTTTTTGTTGCATTGCCCTTTGCGACCGACCCACAAATCTGAAAATCTATGGTCGGCATTTTAAAAAAGTTTTTTTTGTTTTAACCGTTTTTTTAGATTTTTTTTTTATTAATGAATACAAAATTATGTATTTTGTTTGTGTAAATGGGATATAAATGTATAAAATCAAATTATTACAAAATTCTCACTCGTGCAAACCATGGATGATCATGTGAAAAAGATATCAATGGAATGATGACGTTGAAACACTTGTATTAAAGCATTAAAAACTGAGAAATATCAGCCAAAAGAGGGCGGGAAAAAAATAACATTCAAATCTGAAAAATATCGGCCCAAAGAGGGCGACAAAAAAAAAGTTAAAAAAAAAAAAAATCTTTTCCGACCGACCGACCCATGTTTTGGCACCCAAAGGGCAATGCAACAAGTTTTTATTTTAGGCATGATGATAGAATATCTTTAAAAGCTGTAAATAGGATTTAGTGAGGGTGAGAATGAGAATGTAAGTAGAGAGGGAGATAATCGGGAAAATAAAACAGAGAAGAGGGGATTGATAGATTATTATAATTGATTGGTATAAATTGTACAAACATGTATGTCTAATATTATTTTGTCATTTTTCCAAGATTTAAAAACTTACTTCTTACCTCTTATTCAGTTTTTAGACCTTTTCTAAGTGTCATTTTTAAAAATAAATTAAATCTAATCGTCTTCCCTTTAATAAATAGGTTGATGAAAGACAAAACCTTTGCCTTTCTCAGAAGGGCATGATGTTCCACAATTTCCCTGATATGATTCGTTTTTCAGTAAGGGAGACCATGGACCTAATACCGAGGACACATTAGTCGTGTATCTACATGGAATAGCGCCAGCTTGTGTCTATTACACTATAATGTTTTCATCTCGTCGTTTACTACATTATTGGTGCAAAATCCACATATCGACCTCAGATTTAAGATTTTATAATGGCAGAAAGTGAGGACAAGTTCTACTATACATACAGTTGTGATCTAAGTGCTAATGTGCAGATTAAAATGTGAGTATTAAGCTTGAACGTGGGTAATACTTCGATTGCTCCTATGACTGTAGTCCCACACATAAACTTTGAGCTTGACATTTTGATCGGGGCAAGTTGTCTGGAACCTGTCAGACTCACACATAGATCTAAATCTAGGTGCATAACTATCCTGGTTGTGTATTAAAAGCTGTGCTATTGATTCTCAACATTTCAAACACTACTGTACAAAACTCAACTGATTTCACTCAAAATCGGTACTTTTGTGATTGATGACACCTAAATTAAATGGCGCTAGAGTAAAGGAGGGGTAAACGACCAGCTCCAGTTTTCGGCCGATCCGTTGGATGCATGGTAAAATCCCTTTAAAATAGTCTACATCGCATAATACTAGCATATTACATATCCCACACATACCATACCATGCCAGAGTCACTGAAGAACCACATTTGCATTTGCAATGGAAAATATATCCTAAAATATCACATTTTAGCGATGTAATCGGCGGTCCCGCTACCCAAATCTCAAAAATCGAGTTTCTTACGCGTGTATGTAAGAAATATGGGTACCATAAAATGAGCTTTATTTCAAGTATTTTTCAGATTTAGAGCCTGATTTTGTGTTAGTCGCAAGCTCAAAAGTATCTCATCGCATGTATTAAATCAATGCAGCCGGACCCCGGAAGCGGGGTCATCTGGAAGCGTCCGTTTAGGGCTTCGATGTCGATGTCGTCGCTCAGTACCGTCTCCGCGCTATAGCTCTGCACCTCAAACTGAAGCTATCAGTCTAAAATTATGCAAACTTCGCGTATGCTTTATGGTATTACGCACATGCACGATACCATATACGAGAAGCTTGCATAATTTTAGACTGATAGCTTAAGTTTGAGTTGCAAAGCTATAGCGCGGAGACGGTACTGAGCGACGACGTCGACATCGAAGCCCTAAACGGAGGCTTCCCGATGTCGGATGTGATCCAAATTCAGGTGGAAAATGCGAAATACAGCATATTAAAGTACATGCTGCTGGATCGAAAATCTCCATAATCAATTTCTATAACCCTTGCAAAAAATTAAACGAGATTATTTTAAACAGGATGATTAACAATCTAGAATACAATCTATTCCTTATAGTTGGGGATTTCAACTCTCATAACCCTGTGTGAGGTAGTACAAAGATAGACCAAAATGGGCACATAATTGAAAAATTCACACATGACAATAACTTTATAATTTTGAACGACGGAAGAGGAACCAGAATAGATCCACGCACTGGGAAAATGTCATGTTTGGATCTTAGCATCACCTCCCCCAAACTATCTTGCTTATGCTCATGGGAATTTTTGCGGCACACCCTTGGTAGTGACCATTTTACCATCTCCACCCAGATATTGCTGGACCGGCAGGGCAAGTGAACAGCAACAGCAAGAAGATAAATGAGGAAACAACTTGGTCTTTTAAAAATTTTGATTGGAACACTTTTGCCGAAAAATGTGAACATAAAATTGAACATAGTGGCAACTATTCCGACCCTACGAAAATGTATAAATGTTTTATGAAAAGTTTATCAGAGACTATTAAAGAAATAATGCCCCAGAGGGGAAAGGAAAAACATGACCCTGTACCTTGGTGGACAAAAGAATGTACACAAAGTATCAAAGAAAGAAACAGGGCTAATAATAGATTAAAAAGACACATTTCAATAAAAATCTAAATACATATTTGAAGATACAAAAAATTCTAAGCCAAGCAGAACGAAATTACTGGCAAGAATTTTGCTCAAGACTCAACCGCTTTGTACCAGAATCAGCGATATGGTCTACCATTAAACGGTTAAAGGGGGTATCTGTCATAAAAACAAAAAACATGTCAGTCCTGATAGAAAATGAAAAAGAAATCACATGTAACAGTGAAAAGACTGAGGCTTTCTCTAAGTTCCTCCAATCAATTAGTAATGTTAAAGAATGTCCAGAAATAAAAGAAAACAAAAATGTTGAGCAACAAGTCACGAAATCACTGAAGCGGGGAATGGAGCATATCTTGAATGAACCGTTCACTCTTTTTGAATTGCAAAGAACTCTAAAAACATGTAAACAATCAGCTTCTGGAAAAGACAAGATCCCTTATCAGGTCTATCAAAAACTTCCTCAGAAAGCAAAACAATATATGCTAAAGGTCATGAACTTGATATGGGATACGGGTAACATACCTCCCAGTCTGAAACACTATATCCTAATACCTGTGTTAAACAGAATAAAGACCCCCGATAGGTATCGTCGTACCGACCCATAGCACTTTCCTCGTGTTTTGCCAAGATACTAGAACGGATTGTGAAGAATAGACTCCAATGGTATGTAGAAAAAAACAATATACTCCCTCCCCTCATGACTGGCTTTCGTAGTAAACGTGGGGTCACAGATAACATTGTACTTTTAGAGAATGCCATCCAAAGAAGCATTAATGTTGGTGAATATACATTAGCAGTCTTTCTTGATATTGAAAAGGCATATGATAGACTTTGTATCAAAGGCCTTATGTACAAACTGTCAGTACATGGTATTACAGGTAATATGCTAGAATTTCTCTATAACTGAAAGAATGGACTTTCCAGGTAAAGATTGGTAAAGAAGAATCAAAATTATATGAAATGTACAACAGCCTCCCCCAGGGGAGTGTCTTAAGTCCTATATTGTATAATATCATGATGAGTGATATTCCAACGGATGAATTAATCACCACATCTCCACATTTATGCTGATGACTGTGTCATCTGGATGTCAGGTAATAACATAGAAATTATTTCAAACAGAATACAGTGCTATCTGAACACATTGAGTGAATGGTTTACTAAATGAGGCTTTCGCCTTTCAGAGTAAATCCTTTCCAGTGTTATTTACTAAAAACAATAAAGCAAAATACCCAGAACTGAAATTAAACAACGACGCACTTTTATTCCAATCAAAGAAGCAATTCTTAGGACTTATATTTGACAAAAGACTTTCATGGAAGACGCACATAGATGCCGTAGTCCTTAGATGTAAAAAGAAACTGAACATTCTTAGATGCCTTACTGGGACTACATGGGGAAGCTCCTCGAAATCCCTGCTAATGGTATATAGAGCATTGATTAGATCATTATTAGATTTTGGTTGTGAAGCCTATGACAGTGCGGCTCAAAGTATAAAGAAATCACTTGACTCCATTCAATATCAAGCCTTGAGAATTTGTGCGGGATCTCTTCCTCTTACATCATTAGATTCACTACAAGTTGAACTAGGTGAAATGCCCTTAGACTTAAGAAGACAGATGCTTGCGGACAGATTCAGACAAAAGATTGAAATGCATCGAGATTACCCTGTCATATTAAACGTTAAGCCCAGCTGGCAAATGGAGCTTTTGAAGCTCCAAAAGAATAACAAGCCATTTGGATGCAGAACAGAACTAATGAAACATTATACTATCGAACCCTACCCTATACCTAGTTTCCCTCCTTGGAAAATTAATGCTCCAAATGTGTCAATAGAATTAAGCGAAATAGTGAACAAACATGAAAACCCATCTTATTTACGTCAACGGAGTTTAGAATTGATCAGTACCAAATGGCCAATACAACTACACATCTATACAGATGGGCCAAAGGTTCCAAATATTGAAATAAGTTCTGCTTCTTTTTATGTACCAGCCTTTTCCTTTCAACAAGCCAAACGATTGGCGGATCACACATCATCTTTCAGAGCCGAACTGGCTGCAATTGTCCTTGCGCTTAATTGGCTAGAGAACATTAATGTGAATGTTGGCATTGTTATTTTTTGTGATTCCGTAAGCGCCCTGCTCGCCATAAAGAATGAAAAAGATATTACATTTGTAACTGAAATAATAATAATAATAATAATGAACGTTATTTGTATAGCGCATATCACTCACATAAAGAAAGTCCCTATGCGCTTAGAAAAGAAGGAAAAGGGCAGAATAGAAATGAACATTTATGCCTGATACATGAAAATAATTAATTACAAACAAAAATAATGATACACAATTCCTACATAGCTTACATGTAATACATTGTAAATTCAGGTAATACAAATTTAAACATGAAAAATCATGACAATTAAATGAAAAATAAATTAAATATTAAATATGTACATGATACTATAACCAAAGAAGTCACTAAACAGCTGGAACAAAATTAACAATTTACAAAAAGATAGGTCTTCAACAGAGTTTTAAATGATTCTGTTGTGCTTGCCTGTTTGACAGTATCAGGCAAGCTGTTCCACAATTCGGCCGAAGAATTTCTGAAAGAGCGAGTGCCATAATATTTTGTTTGAGTGCTTTGAGCTACTAGGAGGGATTTACTATTTGATCTTAAGTTTCTGGTAGGGGTATATTGTAGAATGAGATCTTGGAGGTAAGACGGGGCTGTACCGTTTAGGCATTGATATGTCAGTAAAAGGATCTTATAATTATACGGGACTTAACTGGCAGCCAGTACAATTGTTTAAGTATGGGTGTTATATGTTCTCTGCGTTTAGTTCTAGTTATTAGTCTGGCTGCTGAGTTTTGGATTCTTTGTAATTTATCGGTGTGAACATCAGGAAGAGAATATAGTAAACTATTGCAAAAATCTATGCGAGATATAACCAGGGCATGAACCAGCTGCTTAGTAGCTTCTTTGGTTAGGAATTGGCGGATTTTTCCAATTTTGTGCAGAGCAAACGAACTGGTTTTACATACATTATTGACTTGAGCTTTCATTGTAAGATTTTTATCTAGCTGCACGCCAAGATTTCTAGCGGCATCGACAGATTTGATAATGGTATTGTCTATTTCTATGCCATCCGTCTGGTTACTTTTCCTGAATTTGCTGGTGAAATGTAGAACCTCAGTTTTGTTACTATTGAGTTTAAGATCATTTTTATTAGACCAATTGATGATATCGTTCACACACACTTGTAGTCTGTCAATGATATTAGATTGCTCATTACTCTTTAAGGTTATATACATTTGAGTGTCATGTTTATGTTGTGATGGTCGATGACATCCTGAAGAGGAGAAGCATACAGACTAAACGCTAAAGGTCCGATGACAGTACCCTGAGGTACCCCATACCAGGTGTAGTAAGTACGCGACTGTGATTCCCCAATGATTACAGAGTGTCTCCTGTTCTGGAAGTATGATTGAAACCACTTCAACGCATTCTTGCAGATTCCATAGCGCCTTTGTAGACGGGAGATCAATGTTTCATGATGGATGGTGTCGAATGCTGACGAATAATCCAAAAGTAGTAACACAGCTTCATTTCCTCTGTCAAGGGCCAGCAGTATGTCATTAACAACTCGGAGAACAGCAGACTCGCAACTGTGATAGGGCCTATACGCGGACTGCATACTTGCATACAGGTGATTTTCTACCCGATGGTCTTAAATCTGCAAGTTCACCAGTCGCTCAATGGTTTTCCCCAGGAACTGGATGTGAGCGATAGGTCTGTAACTTCCTAGGTCCTCTAAATCTAGTTTGCTAGCCTTTATCAGTGGAGAAATGTTCGCAAGTTTCAATACATCTGGAAAACAACCATCACGTAGAGACATATTTGCAATGCGAGTATTCACTGGACTTAGTTCATTTACACACTTCTTTACAAGATCAGTGGGCATAGGGTCTAAGCCGCACGTGGTAGAACGTGATCTGGTAATCAGACATGCAACTTGACTTTGAAGAATACAGTCAAACTCATCAAATCTTTGGTCCGTTTCTACATGGGAAATACGAGTGAGGTCACTGCTGGAAGCATTATCAAGTGACTTGATAATATTTTCAGATTTCTCAGCAAAGAATGAACAGAATCGATCAGCCAGGTTAGCTTCAGGATCGCTGTCACTTGGAAGACACTGCGATGTTTCCGTGTGGACCAAACGGTTCACCCTTTGAAAAAACTGTCTGGGTCCACAATCCTTCAGTCGAAGTGAGAAGTACTCCTTCTTTGCTTGAGTAAGTGCTTTTTCATACTTTTTTGACTCATGTCTAAACATCTGCCGATGAACTTCCAGTTTGGAGATGCGCCAACGCCGTTCCGATCGACGGAAAACACATAAACTTAGAATGGATTCCTAGCCATTGTGGTGTACACGGAAATGAAATGGCAGATTTTTATGCAAAATCTGCTTTACAAAATAACATTAAAATTTGTAATAAATTATCCTTTTCTGAAATAAAGAGTATTATTACCAGCAAGTATATAAAACTCGGGCAAGACAGATGGAATAATTCTGAAAGTTTTCTTAGACAGATACTGCCTACAGTAAATCAACCATATGAATGTAAGTTGAACAGATTTGAAGAAAGTATTCTCCATAGATTAAGAATAGGAGTGATAGGCAGGTGATAGGTTTGAACTTAGATCTCTTCAGATTGAATATACACTCGACAGGCCATTGCAATAACTGCATAGGACGTACTGAAATTGTAAACCACTTTCTCACTGAATGCCCAAAGTTCATCAAAGAAAGAGCTATGTTACTCATAGAAACTGAATTATCACATCGACAGGAAATCATGACACTACTTAAAATTTCAGAAATAATTAAACAAAAAGCAATAGTTCGCTTCGTTTTAAGAACAAAGCGGCTGTATCAAAACCATTAAATTGATTTTTTTTTCTAATCTTCTCTTTTCCTTTTTCTTGCACCAATAAAGCCCACAATACTTGTAACTAATTTGACCATTTAGTTTTTCTAACAATTTGACATTTCGCGTAACCTACTTTGCTATGCGTATTCAATGGGCAAGGGTGGGCAAGTGGGGTAGCAGCAAAAAATTACTTTACAAAAGTACTATCTCAGGTAGATAGTACTTATCTATATTTTATCATGTGACCTCGTTTAGACAAATCAGATTGCAAGATTCTTAGTATGCGGGATATAACACTTATTATATTACTATGACTCAGGTAAGTACAAGATGTGGACATGGATGGATGTCCCTTCAACTATTCCTCCATGTCTACATTTGAATTAATTAGCCCTGCTGATGCTTGGTCAAATCCAAAATGTTTGTTCCACAAAGTGGAGTATTTTAATGTCATGATTATGATATCTATCTTCTTCTTCCTCTACATGTATCTGATTATCATACAGTGGAACACTAGAGGGAAAGAGAGAGAGGCCAAGTTACAGAGATTTACTGGCAGATCCTCAGTTGAGATTCTCTGGTCTGTATGAAGAAAAGTGTGCTGACCTCTATGTGACCTGCCAGGTCTTTGCAGATGGGAAACCTTTGATATTGCCAAGAAGGACGTCTTACAGGGCCTTTACTACCAGATGGAAGTAAGTGGTCAAAGATTGGATTTCACTTTCTTGTTTTAATTCCTTGTTGAGCCATGTACTGGTAATGCCTTAATACTCATGATACTTCTTTACTTGACACATTTTGTTTCTTCAAAGGGATGAAGTGAACAAAAATAAAAACAAGCAGAAAAATCTGGCAAATGTCTTTCTCGAATATAGATATGATGCTTATAAAAATTAAAGGCATGTTCATATACATGTGTGTGATTTGAAACTGGCCTATCCAGACATATATGTAAAAAATAAATAATGGGAAGGTAGCTTTGTATTTTTGACAATTTAACTATACTTGTAGTTATTGGAGACTTAGTTGTAATTAATGAAATTCGCTTGTGACTGCATATATGTTGCTATCATTTATCAAATAATAGAGTTATATATTTTTATCTGCACTCCTCTTTGTTTGATAGTAATATTATTTGGTTTCCACCTTAAATTTTATTCACTTGTAGCTGGAACGAATGGCTAACCCTTCCACTCAAGTTCAGTGACCTTCCAAGAAATGCACAGGTAAGAACTGACCTTTCGAATGATCTGTATTGTGCTATTACAGAGCTACACAATGTGTATTCCTGCTACTGAAAGAAGAAAAAATCTACTTTCTTGGAAAAGTAATGTTACATACATGTAACTTCCTGGACACTATAATTGAAGACTTTGAGTACATACCAATTACATACTTTTACACTTACAGGTACACATATTTGGCCTTGTGTGATAATGGCTATTATTGTGCACTGCTAATACCAGGACGACTAAATGGCATCAAATCAAACTTGTGCTGATATGTAACATAACTATGCTAAGAATTATCTTTAATCTCCTCTTTAGGCTGCTTTGACTATCTGGGATGTGTATGGCCCAGACGACGCAAGACCAGTAGGAGGAACCACTGTCAGTCTCTTTGGTAAACATGGGTAAGCTTCAATCAGTCAGAGTGGACAATCTGGATGTGGAAACTTCTGCATTTGACTTGTTCCCAGTGTTTTTATGAATGGCTCACAGTCTTATAACCCATTCATACCAACAAAACACTTATACTTACAATAACTGAACAAATATTACATTACCCCCAAATAAGCCTGTTCATAGATGTACAATGTACAATGGGAAAACCCATGATTACTGGGTACATGTCATGAAAGTTATGTAATCATTGTTCAACAATATGTACTGACAGTACATTTTATGGAACACAAAGAAAAAGAGGCCAAACAGAAGGTATTCATGAAACAGAGCCATAGCTTTAGCAGTGATTATTCTAAAATGCACAAAGTGGGACTCCTCCATAATGAAAAGATCTGTGAATAATTGTGGTCAGTTGTACTATGTGCTCACTAAGGACTAGACTATTGCCAAGTTATTGGGTTTTTTTTTTGTTCGTTTGGTTGATGAACCACTTCAGCCGGAAAATGAAAGGAAAATGCCATACATCCAGTTTGTTCAGCCTTTGACCCTTTGCTTGCCTTGGCAGCCTCGTGAAACACATAATAGACTGACATGGTTGACTTTTGTCACACATACAGTGTGTATAGAATGTATATCCCCAAAGTAAAAATGTTTGAAATTAATAAATAATGTAGACACTGGAGTTTATTGTTGTAGATCTGATTTTGCTTGGGATTTTAGTGATCTTAGTCAAAGCATCTTTGTTCCCATAAAAATAAACGTACCAGCTTTGTAAAAGCATGAAGATTTGATTCAGTGGGAATGAATTTCTTTTTAATAGGCTCTATTGCCCTTGATTAATAGGGCCACTCATCTCACTTCAATAATCGTATTTATTTCTGAGGGCCAAATATGATTAAAGTTGGAGTGCTCTAAAATGGATGTCTCATTTTATTTTAAAACATAACAAGCCTGCACACTTTAGATATGCTGTTGTGTCCTGCTTGTTTAGCTCCCACAGACCATGAAGAGTAGAATGGAGTATAACACTTGTCAAATCAGGACAACTATACTTGATCCTTGTGATCGATGTGTACCAAATAAAATTGAAGACAATTTCTTTAAAAAGGCACATTTAAAGAAATGCGCCTTCTAATTTTTAGAATTGATAACAGCATGTGGGCAGAATGCAGCTTTCAATTCATTGAATAGTTAGATGTGTGTTATATTATGCAATCACCATATTATTTTCCTTGAATATTTGTGTAGGACATTCCGCAATGGCATGCAGGACCTGAAGGTATGGCCAGGGGTCGAAGGTGACGGTCGAGGTCAAACCAAGACACCAGGCAAGCTAGCAGACAGCAATGACACCATGGCCAGACTGGCTAAACTGACCAAGAAGCATCGTAAGGGTCATATGCTGAAGGTGGACTGGCTTGATAGACTGACCTTCAGGGAGATTGAGATGATCAATGAGGTCAGTATATCATCAAATTTGAGTTTAATATTGAAGATGAAACTAACTTATGAATGGATTAAATCACTTTTTTGATGGTGCTCACCATGCATGTAGCTTTTGTAATGTTGGATTGATTTAAACTCTCTTACATTCTCCATTTATTGGTTTCAAAGTTCTAATTTTTTGGAATTTCTGTGATTCTAGTTGATGGTATGGAAAGAAAAACCTGAATAAGTTTTAAAAGTTTGTTAGTATATAAAATGGCAATGTTTTACTTTTTTTTGTAATTTGTGTGAAATCATGATACAATGGATTGATAAAGGTTTGAAAATTAACAGGAGTCATGCTAAATTTCCATGTTATTGCATGTTTGTCAATTTCTGTTTAAATGCCCTTAGAACTACCATTGAAAGATACTAGTTCTGGGAGTATTTGGCTTATTGGCTTTGCACTCATGAAGCAACATAACAAATCATTTATTTTCTAGATTTTCTGAATGTGATTAACAAATTATCTGTAAGATCAATTTGTGACTTTATTCTAAGATAAGGTTTTCAAGTCTGAATATTGTCAACTGTTTTTTTCCTATCAAATATATCCAATAAGCTTTCTTATAAAGAGTGAAATTTGGATGCTTTATTGTTTCATTTCGATTGAACAGAAGGAAAAGCGAGACTCAAACTTCATGTACCTGATGGTGGAATTTCCCAGAATTCATTACAATGACATTGAGTTTGCTGTCGTTTATTATGAGAAGGTAAGATGCAATATCAGTATTTACTTTGGCAATGTGTTGGAAGAGAAAGATGTCTTCTTTTGCTATTTTGTATAGCTGTTGGATAACTGCAATTGGAAAACTTGCTGTAGTTAGCTTTCATTCCATTTTAGAAGGATTTTTGGATGATTCAAGATAGCTTTGTACTTGCTTTCTAATGGTTATATTGCTGTCCAAAATGCTTTTGACTGAGTTTGCATTGTGTCATTTCAAGCATTAGATACTACCATATAAGAATAAAGATGACAGATGTTCCTCTCAGCTTGACTCTTATCTTCTCACTCACTAGGATGCAGAGGAGACGATATGCACCAGAAACTATGCTGAGATTGTTTCTGTCCCGGACCCAGAGATGTTAATGGTGAGTCATACGCACAGTGGCATAGCAAGGGCTCTGCCATTGAGAGGGGGGGGGGGGGGAATAATATGTGAAACAGAGTGAAGGGAGGGTGAGATGAGTATTACATCCTTCTTTTTGTTTTGCCTGTCCCCTGTCCCTTTCTTTTTTTGCTGTTTGATTAGGGGCATGTGTTACCCTGTGTTAGAGGGTACTACCGCCTTCTTTTCATGTGGCCTTTCCGCCCTTCCTTTTTTCTCCTCCCTTTTTTCTCTCTTTCTTCTTTCTTTGCCAATTGGGTGCACTCATCCTCATAGCTACTTCACTGCATATATGCAAGTAAAGGGAAGAATGTTGTTATGTTAAGATTCACTTCATATTTAGAGCATGATCGTCATGGAATGTTTGAATGTGTAGCTACCATCATCCTCTGTTATAAGAAATCAGGATTATGGTAATGACAAAATATTTTTCTACCTATGTTGATGAAACTTGAATATTCTCGTGAATTATTGTATTTTTGTGATTGTGCTATATTTTGTTCTCATTATAATTGAAGTATGTTTTTTTGATAAAAGTGATTAGTGATAAGTCTCTAAGCAAGGTTAGCTCTCAATACTTCAATCTCTAATGCCTTTTTTCACCCATGACATGAGAATGATTGCTGTGGTTCAATTTTTTTTACAAAGTGTGCCCGAATATGCACATATCAGAATCTCCATGTTATCTTTCTCCAGTCAAATTGCTTCTGCATTTGTCGTGCTATTTAATGTTGTTTATTAGTCCAATTATATGTATAGACCTGTATGCTGTAATATACAGTTATTTTTTGGGACTTTTAATCACCATATTACACATAAAGATAGGTTTAATACCAGAGTGTCAGTACTCGATCCCTGTGCTAATACACCAGAAATAAGATGAAAGAGGGTAAATAAGACAGTAAATCTGCGTGAGAGAAGAGGGTTTGGTACTTGTATTTATGTTTGCATCTTTTAATATAACTATATTTCATTTTTTACCCAGGAAAACCTTGTTGAGAGCAAACATCATACCCTAGCTAGAAGTGAAAGAAGTGGACTGTCAGACAAAGATCTCAAACCTAATGCTTCCACCAGAGATCAACTCAATGTAAGTCATCTACTCTCTTCTACATTTAGCTATTATGAGACATGAGGGGCAGTAGGATTGTGCCCCCTCCCTCTTGGCTACGCACCTGTTTTGAGAGAGTATGGTAGCTTGCGAGGACAAAGCCCTCCATATTTTCTGATTTTGCTACTTTCGGACTTGGGTTCCTTGCATGGGGTTTTATTTTATTTGTTATTTTCTTCATACTCATAGCAGTTAACCCTTAAATGCCATGTTATTTTTAGGTTGATTCTACACATTATAACTGCAAACTAATTGATTTTTTAGGTGATTAGTACACTTAAAGGTAAAGACGAGTTTTGGAAACGCCCCCTCTCAAAAAAAGAAATGGAAGCTCTTATTACCAATCATGTGAAAGAATATATGTGATGATACAAATTTTGTCGGGAAACCGCCTACTAATTGACATATTTGGTAAATTATTATATCTATTTTGATCTGATAGATATTGCGCACATGTTGGGTAGTTCCCATATTACTATATACATCTGTCTGTGTACAGTGCTTGTAACTTTACCAAGACTGGGCCAAATTTCTTATCATTTTCATGATTCCAGAACCTTGCAGTTCACACCAATACTTATATGCTAGATGATCAACCTTTTCTGATCGATTCCATAACGTTTCATTCACAATGCAATCGCACGACCAGAACTGATCTTTACCTTTTAACCATACTAAATCAATATGGCTTAATTTTTAAATCTGCAGAACATTGTTGGTTATGGTCCTACCAAGCCCTTAACCTATGAGGAGCAGGACGTGGTGTGGAGATTCAGATACTATCTTAACAGCCAGGGGAATGCCCTTACAAAGTTCCTTCGTTGTGTCAAATGGGATGTACCTCATGAGGAGAAACAGGCCTTGGAGTTACTCCGGAGCTGGGCTCCTATTGATGTGGCCGATGCACTGGAGCTTCTCTCCCCTCAATTCAGACATAGAGCTGTGAGGAGGTTTGCAGTCTCCAGGCTCAGACAGGCCATTGATGAGGTATGTAGAAGTTGGCTTATAAGGTATTAAGAGGATGGGGAGGGAGGATGGGAAGGGGCAGGAAGGGAGCATAATGAGGTTTCAGGCTCAGGTAGGCAGGCCATTAATGTATTTTAGCGAAATGCTGTAGCATGTAAGAACGTGACTTTTTAACTTCAGAATGGGGGCAGTTAATGAGCAATCATTTTTACTTCATGAGAATTGGCCCCTTCAGAAGATCTGTGTCCAAAAAAAAAAGATACATCCTTTTCGTACTGGAATCCCGCTGCCAACTGAAACTACATACATAGCTCTCTCTTTGGTTATATTATGCAGTAGTTTTGTGTGTCTGTGTGGTGCTAGGTTATGTGGAAATTTGATTTAAATTTGAGTTTGAGTCGAACTGATCTAAAGTGCCCTAGAACTTCTACATGGTTTCTGAGATGTTCTTTGAAGTCCTTGCTGATAGCGATGCATTGCCTGTGAATGCACTACTTTTATGATAATTTTATATTTGTGGTAGATTGATTAGATATCTCTTGTGTGGCTCACTTTTATGTTTGAAAGCTCTTTGATATTTGTTTTCACTGGGACAGGAGATTGCCATGAGAAGGTGTGATGGACATACTTTGTACAGAGAAATATAGAGGAATAGCCAATAAATGCTTACAAGCAATATTAAGATGTGCATTATTCATTTGTTTTCAAGCAGAAAAGTGGTATACATGTAGTGGGTCACATGAGAAAAGAGAAAAGGAAAAAATTGAAACAAGAGAGGATAGTACTGATAATACAAAGAGATGTTTTATCCCTCTTTCATGCAGGAGTTGATGTTGTACCTTCTCCAACTGGTCCAGGCCTTACGTTATGAAGACTTTAATGAGATCAAAGCTGGACTAGAAGCTGCCTCGGCTAGACCAAGAAGCGAGTCTCACGTCTCTCAGGACTATCATGTGGATAGAGACAGGTTTGTAGGTTGTGCTTATTGTTAGGATATGCTGTAAACATTATAGCCTCTTGAGACATCACTAACGTGGTAATATGCTAAATCAGAAAAGTGAGTGCAGATTAGGAAAATGCTCTAGCAGCTGAGAAAGTTATGAAATTTTAAGTTATTATTGAACACACACAATTGGCAAATCTATAAATTTCCCTTGTCGGAAGCTGTCCATTTGTTTTGTCAGAAGAAAACTGATTGAGTTCCATTTTTATCCAAAGAAAATATTCTGTCATTCCTTTGACCTTCAAATATTATTGGACACATGTTTTCACTAACCCCCTCCCTGAAATAAAGTTACTTGTCTCCTTTGATCAACAAAACCAAGAGGACGTTTCATGAAGAATATTTCAGTATAAAACAAATGGAGAGCTGCTTGCAAGGAAAATTGTCTTTTTGCAGTTAATAATAATAATGGTGGCTTCTTATATAGCGCACATGTCCGTCATGTTGTGACGCTCCTGGCGCTGCCCCGATTATTACCCTGGCTTTAGCAAGGCAGCCACTGCGGCGCTCTAGCATTTCAAGGAATTAATTAGTTTTTGTTTGATTAAGTACAAGTATACAGTTTTAAAATTTATTATACTTTATCAGATTTTTTCACAAACTGTCTTTTAAAGCGTTTTTCTGCTTTTATCAAAACCAATTATCATGTAGGACTTCTTCTGTAGAGGGCATGCTCCTCTTTAAGATGTAAGGATTTCAATCTCATTATAACACTTTATCATCTTAAACCTGTGGAATCTTCATTCTATGTAATATGAGTTCAATCTCATTACATCACTTCATTATCTTAAACCTGTGAAATATTCTTTCTATGTAATATGAGTTCAATCTCATTATATTACTCTTCATCTTAAACCTGTGAAACATTCTTTCTATGTAATAGGAGTTCAAGTCAGAACACGATTCCCCACCCCCTAGCAGAAACACCGGAGTCCCCCACCCCTCCAGTCACACCTAGGGATCAGGAGCAAGGCAAGGATGTAACAGAAGAGGTAAAGACAGATCAAGCATCTTATCAATTCTTCATTTGAGCCACTATCATATGGGTCATTGTATTAGGTAGGACGGTAAGCTTCCAGTTGCCAAGAAGGTGTAAATTTAAAATTGTTTTGTTCATGCCTTTATCTGTACAGTGAGAATAATCAAACTTTTTAAATAAAACAGAGAGGGTTCTCTTTTGAAGAATTTTTTTTCCCGTAGGTCATAAGCATTCTGAGAATAGAATGTATTATTGGTGCATAAATGAATAATTTTTACATAACTTTCATGAACACATATCCTGTATTTATCTTGGTGTATTTTACAATTTTGGTACAAATGACCTTTATCTACCCATGTGCAGAATGTATAGATATATAAACTGGCTTATTGTACATGATCCTGTGTGAAAGAAAGAAAGATTGAAATATTTGATACAAATTGGACATGAATTCTGCTTTAAGAATAGAGGCAGCATAAACAGTGGAAACACATTGGACTAGCCGATCATTCCCATAGTTACATTTTCTTCACTTTCTATTATAATGTCCTTAAGATCTTACTATTAAGCAGATGATAACAATTTTATCTCTCTACCTTCCAGTGTAACCTAGCAACATTCCTGATAGAGTGAGCATATTGACTCACTAACTCTGCTGGTATCTACTGAACAAGATACCCATTCTTATGATACCTGCATCACTGAAATGACAGTTCTCAAATGAAATTCTTTATTTGAAATGAAATACAGTTAACCCTGTAAAGAGAAGAGATTCTGACATTCTTACATGTATCTTTCTACCTTCCAGTGTAATTTAGCAACATTCCTGATAGAGCGAGCATGCTGTAACTACACCTTAGCTAACTATCTCTACTGGTATCTACTGGTAGAGAGTGATGAACAAGATACAATCTCCAAGGATTCACGCATCATTGAAATGTACAAGACCGTTCTCAAATGCTTCAGTCAGTCGCTAAGCAAGGTTAGTTTTCAAAAGTCAATTTCTAAATGGATGTCATACCTTGATAACAAAATGTTTTATAAAGTTAAATCAGTTATACATGGGGCATACATCAAATTGATGTTCATCTTAGATTTGCCCAGTGTTTGAAAAAGTGTCCGGCAAACTAGAAAGATTTTGTATTGATATGCATAAATTGTAATAATTAGATACCGGTACATGTATATGGAAGTCTCAGATTTACAATTTGGTCATAGGTTTATGTTCAAATAATTGTAAAATTTCTAATTTTTTCTCTTTACACAAAATATCTAACATGCATTAATTCAATATATGTATGTTATGTTTACTTATTAAGTTATTTTTGTTGTTTTAAAAGTTGATACAAAACAACATTATATAAAAAATTGGACAAAAAGTCAACAGATATATTCCACAGGATATATTCCATATGATAAAAATTGCAAATAATCTTGTTTCCTTTGCCCATTAGGGAGGAAAGGATTGTGTTCACTATCGGTCACTCCTAGTCAGACAACACACACTCACCAATCACATTCTTAATATCATGAGACTGGTAGCTAAAGAGAATGGTAACAGAAAGAAAAAGGTAAGTGTGTTTCCATTTATTTTCATTCATTATATCAAGGCAATCCATACCAAACTTCACTCAAACATATGTATGTATGAATTGTAATCCAAATAGGAATGAATGTAGTCCTGCCGAGGTTGACATAAAGTAGTCAAGGGAAGAAGAAATAATGTAACAACCGTTGGAGATACAAAATATATACAAATTTTCGCTTTAAGCCTTTGTCAAGAAATTATGTATTTGTGCATCCAACTTTTGTGACTGCAGAAAACTATGTGTTTCTTTTAGCTAGAAAAGTATAAACCAATAAAACTATAATTTTTAAGAATCTGTAGACCAGAAGATATTTTTAGTTGACACTCGACCAAACCAATACTTGAGGTGCTAATGTTTTTCATGATTGATAATTGATACAGTTGGTTTTGGATTGAGTATGATAATTAAGGAAATATATATCAGCGATAACATTCTGAAAATACTTTTTTTCTGTCATTTCAGATGACCGTTAAAAAAAAGACTTTATAATATATGATATATGAGTATATATATATATATATGAGTATATGAGTATATGAGAGATATTTGATATTGATATACACATGTACAATGATTGAAAGATATTAGCAAGGAGTCTGTTGTTGAATGTTCAACTAAAATTCTTCTGGGTAATATTCACAATTCACAATCCAGGCAATCTTTTACCTCATAATGCATTGAATCATCCAAACTCAAATCTTAGGATAACACTTGTCTTTTCACTAGATTGAGCGGTTACAGGCACTACTTGGTGAAAACGATCAACAGTCAGTCAACTTCACAAGCTTTGACCCTTTACCCTTGCCTCTTCATCCAGAGGTCAAGGTTTTGGGTGTGGTTGCGGAGAAGGCATCCATGTTTAAGAGCTCCCTCATGCCTATCAAGCTCACATTCAAGACGACGGATCATGAGGAGTATGTAGCTATCTGTAAGAATGGAGATGATTTAAGACAGGACCAACTCATTCTTCAGATCATCACACTTATGGATCAGGTGAGGGGGGAAAAAAAAGATGAATTCCTTTTTTTTCAAAGATGCTCAATTCCCCCAATTTCAACTTTAAAGTTTCCATGTGCATTGTGAAACAGTGGACTTAAATTGGACTTGTTGAAATTATCACTTTCTTTGTGTACAAATCTTGCAAGCAGCGAAACTTGTGGCCCACTTGGAATTTATTCAGAATATAATGTGAAAGATTGGAAAGTGGTTAGTCAGGGTTGGATGGGAATTTATGATGAGGAATTTTCCTGATGGAAATTGATGGAGGATCTGTACATTATTATGTAACACCTGTATATGGTGCAGTCCACTCTTAGTAATTGATAAAACATCTGTTTTCTGGTTAAAGTATCACTTCTTGATGATAAGCCACAATCTTATGTCTCTAACACATTATTTTCCCACATGTAAACTGAAGATTTATAAATCTATCCTTATTTAATGTTACATGCATTCTTCTCTCAGGAAGAAGCGAGAAAACAGGAGAGGGCCAACAAGAAGAGGGCCATAGTGCACCATATTTCAGTTGACAATCATAGAAATTCATTACATAATATAGATTGAATGTAATCAGGATATATCATGAATAAAACAGGAGCTCAGCATACCACATGTTGAATTATACTTTTTTTTTCTCAACTAATACTGACTTCATGATCCCCATATAACCTTAATTTCAGTGCATTTGTAATGGTTCTACTAGATATATTCATTATAATTATAATTATGTCCTATCCTTTGTAGTTGCTGAGGCAAGAGAATTTGGATCTGAAGCTAACTCCATACCGAGTTCTAGCTACAAGCAGCAAGAATGGGTTTGTTCAGTTCGTTGACTCTGTAGCTGTGGCTGATGTGCTCTCTCAAGAGGGAAACATTCAGGTAATTGTCAACTTTCCTTTTAAGTTACAATTGCAATAAAGATTTATCTTGTAATTTCTTTAACCCTATTTAGCACGGGGGGGGGGGGGGGGGGGGGGGGGGGGGCTTTAGAAGCCCCCCCATCTTTTGAAAGAATTTTTTTGAAAATCGGACCTACCATTACAAAGTCACGTGTCTTTTTGTCTTTGCATGTCAGCCCGAAAATCGCTCATTTTTGTGATTTGTGTACAAAACATATGGAAATCTCATTTTTCAAATAAAGAGATAAAGCATTGTTTATTTGGTATTGTTTATAGTTTAGGTGTTTACTTTGGGTTCAAAATAGTTAAATTATAGTTGGAAATGAAATAAAACAACAAAAACAATAAAATACATAAGTTAAAAAAACAAAGAAATACATAAGAAATTATCAAAACAATAGATAACATAAGGAATAACCCTGGTTTTTCAATTTTTTGTGTTGTATTATTAGTCCAAATGGTCCAACAATTATATGTGTAGTGACAAAGAATGCTTAAATATGTATAATGTCTGATTTATGGGCAAAAATGTGAATTTTATGACCTTATTTGCATAAATATGCAAATGAGTGAATTTTTCAAAAAATTGAAATTACCATTGTATTTTATAAACTTCACTTGACATGTATGCAAATTTTTGCGGCGATCGGGTGTTTCACGGCCGAGATCATGGGGGGGGGGGGGGGGGGCCTTAGAAGCCCTCCCCCCCCCTGGGCTATGCAGTTTCAAAATAGCCCGGGCTAAATAGGGTTTTAAGGGAACCTTAATTACAAGCATTATGCTTCCAAGGTTTCCTCCTCATTACTGCAGATAATTGTTAGCATCATATGTATTTAATGACTTGCCATTACATTGTTTTTATTACTGTTGTATCAATCGAATATTATGTACATGTTTTGTTACCTTGTATATGCCTTACTTTGTAAATTCTTTTCATATGCAGTTAATGTGGAAATAAAACCTAAATAAAAAAAATTTATTACACTGATGATGCTATAAAAGAGTATAATGTTTAACAGACTTGAGCGCTATAAATATAAGGCCCCACTATTAATTATTATTATTGAAGAGATGAAATGTAACATCCAAAAGTATGTTTATAATCTTAAAATGCAAGCTGTGCTAACACAGAATAACACTTTTTTATGTGACATAAGGAAATGTGATACCAGTCCTAGCATTGAAATGGGGAAAATTGAATGAAGAACAAAATCAACACCATTCGACGCTATCGCTCGACTTGTCCGCTAAGTGTTTCACAAAACCGTCTTGGCAAAGATGAGAGACAACTTCCCTGAAAAGAGAATTGTTGTAACTCCAAACCCGTCATATCTTTTTTAGAATGCCATAATAAATCAGTTTAAAGATGGTGTATGGGTAGTTAAAATATGAAAAATTATGTTTGATTAAAAAATTATTTCTTGATCTACAAACTCTCACTTTATTCACTTATTCTCTACCACTCTCTTCAAGTTTACATTTTCATTTTTAAATTGAGCGTCATAATCCCATAAACCCTCCCGAATAATCCGGAATATGCCGTTTTTCTGGATTTTTAGGACCCCAAAATGCGGGATATCCCGGATTTTCAAAATTTTGAATTTTTTGTTTTTGTTTTTGTTTTTGTTTTTGTTTTTGTGTTGCTTAAGCCAAATGAAGCTTGTTTTATCATATGCTGCGATGTGAGAGTTCATGTATTGCATGCGTTGAAGGGCTGCATGATTGAGCAGCAAATTGGTATTCACTTTTTTGCACAGATTTACCGCATATTGCCAGTTACACTGCTGCTGCATGTGCGAACGCCTGTTATTAGGGTACAGATTTCTTAATTTCGAAGACATACTGTGCTAAAAATCTTAATTCTCATTTTCAAATGTTGGCAGGTATGGTAATGCAGGAGAAGACTATGTTTCTTAACATAGTATCACTTTCATGAGGTTATTGAATCAACATGGTTTTGTGAAACGGTTTGTCAGGTTCCCGACAACTCAGTAGATCACATACAAAGATATGACTGTCATGGAGCTGGTAATGATATTTAACATATGATGAATTATGCTTGATAATTCATGGTGGAGCAGTAAAAAACAACACAAAATGAAATGATAGCTTAACCCTACATTGAAAATATGCTATTATATAGAAGTATTGCATTGAGAATCTAGATTAAGAAATATTCCATCAAATCACTCTCATTTATGGAGTAAAACATTTATTACAGAAACAACTCTTCTTTGATTCTCCAGAATTTCTTCAGAAAGCATGCACCAAGCGAGGCAGCCCCATATGGCATCAGCCCTGATGTGATGGATACCTACGTTAAAAGCTGTGCCGGTTACTGCGTCATCACTTACCTTCTAGGGGTCGGAGATCGTCACCTTGACAACCTCCTCCTCACAAAGTGTGGCAAGCTCTTCCATGTAGACTTTGGGTACATCCTAGGGCGTGACCCCAAGCCTCTACCCCCACCCATGAAGATGAGTAAGGAGATGGTGGAGGGCATGGGAGGGGCGCAAGGAGAGCTCTACCAGGACTTCAGGAAGATCTGTTACACATCATTCCTGCATCTTAGAAGGTGAGTTGATGTCCTTTGGAAATGTTAACCTTGCATTGATGATAACTATGTCAAGTGTTGATGATGGTGATGGTGATGATGATGAGGTGAATGATGACGGTGATGATGATGATGATGGTGATGGTGGTGGTGATGATGATGATGATGATGATGATGATGATGATGACATTAACGATGATGATGTTGGTTATGATGATGATGGTGATGATATTGGTGATGATGATGTTGTTGAAGATGATATTGTTGTTGATGGTGATAATGATGATGATGATGATGGTGATGGTGATAAAAATGATGATAATGGTGATGATGATGATGATGATGTTGACAATGATGAGGATCGTGTCGATAATGAAGATTTTGATAATGAAGATTTTGATGTCAGTGATAATGACAATGATAGTGATGATAGTGATGATAGTGATGATGTTGATTATAGTGATGATGTTGATGATGATGATGATGATGATGATGATGGTGATGGTGGTTACAATGATGTTGGTGATGACGATTAGGATAATGATGTTGATACTGATGATGATGATGGTGACAAAGATGATGATGATGGTGATAATGATGATGATAATGGTGGTGGTGGTGGTGATGATGATGATGATGATATTGTTGATGATGATGTTGACAATGATGAGGATCGTGTTGATAATGAAGATTTTGATGTCAGTGATAATGACAATGATAGTGATGATGTTGATGATAGTGATGATGTTGATGATGATGACGATGATGATGGTGGTGACAATGATGCTGGTGATGAAAGTGATAATGATGATTACAGTGACAATGATGATGATGATGACGATTAGGATAATGATGTTGGTGATGATAATGATGGTGGTGATGATGATGATGATAATGATGATAATGATGATATTGTTGATGATGATGTCGTCAATGATGAGGATCGTGTCGATAATGAAGATTTTGATGTCAGTGATAATGACAATGATAGTGATGAAGTTGATGATAGTAATGATGATGATGACGATGATGATGGTGGTGACAATGATGTTGGTGATGATAATGAAAGTAATAATGATGATTATTACAGTGACAACAATGATGATGACGATTAGGATAATGATGTTGATAATGATAACGATGATAGTTTTGATGTTCTATTTTTCCAGACATTCCAATCTGATCTTGAACCTGTTTTCCCTGATGGTGGATGCTAGCGTGCCTGATATTGCATTAGAACCAGACAAGACAGTTAAAAAGGTCAGTCTAATCAGCATTGTTTGTGGGTAGGTAACATGAGTTTGGAGAAACTAATGTATACCGGTAGTGCATAAAAGTTAATTTATGCTGTCATTTAATAGCCTTGTATTACGGGTACGCATTACAAGCAATAAACCCTCCTTGATTCATTATAAATTCTGTCTGTACACCTGGGTCAAAAGCTAAGAGTGACAATTTCTGTAGTTGATGTGCCTACAAGTATTTGACTGTGTGGCTCAAAGATTTAAATAAAAGGTGGGTAATTAGTCAAAATTTCATGCGGTAAATTCCTAAAATGTGTCTGTGAGGAAAAAAAGAAAATAAGTTCCAGTTAAGTAGTTTTGTTGAACTCAAATTTTCAGCACTTCATAATGATATTCGTTTTTGACGTGGGGGTCTTGTAAAGGAAGATTGTAATTCAAAACATTCAATACCTAGAAACCTTTCAGAAACATGTTTAAAAGGGTTTAATTACTCAGAGTTATTAATGATATTATGTGGGTTAAATTCTGGAGAGAGATTTTTGTCTTTTGTTTTGTATAGCGCCTTGAGTAAGTTATTAGATAAGTGCACTTTATAGGTATTTATTATTATTATTATTATTATTAATTGCTGTAAAGAAAGATTGCATGCAATTTTCTGCATCATCCATTTCACACTTGTACAGATAATATTTAAATGAATGTTTATTTGTCTGAATGTTAATTCCAGCTCCAGGACAAGTTTCGTCTAGACCTAACTGATGAGGAGGCTGTTCATTACATGCAGACGTTGATTGATGAGAGTGTGGGGGCAGTGTTCGCAGCTGTCGTTGAACAAATACATAAATTTGCGCAGGTAAGCCTTTTGCCTAATTAAAGCAAAATGATTTACATCTCCATTTGTATGGTATTTTCAAGTAAATGTGGTGAGAAATTGATGTAAAGCAGTAGAATACCATGATTCTTCAACAAAATTACCCCACCACCATTTTCACATCAATTCATTGTTACATGTTCATCAAACCTACCAGTGTAATTGGGTCTCAACTGATCTATACCAAGATTCTTCATTTCACACATATACTACACTTGGAATAATTGACCCATGTGTAATCAGGGTTCCTAGCTATCATGTAGATCGAGGAAAGCCTAGAGAATTGTTTCTCCCTCTTTCCAGTTAGCGTAAAGTCAAGGGATTTTCTAATGTATCCCTAAAATCAAGGAAAAGTCAGGGAATTTCATTAGCTCCCAAAAGAAAGTAGTTAATTCTCTTATAATTTGTCCAGTGTCCAAACAGCATGTCCATGTTTCATACTGGACACAGATTGAAATAATGGTCAATTTTGAAACTTCAAAAGAGAAAAATCCGGGAATTTGTTTTCATGAAATGCTGCAAACCATGGAATTGTCTTCATCCTAAATGTCTCTCCCTCTCTCTCTCCTTCTTTCACTCATGCCATCTAGTACTGGAGGAAATAACCAACTCTGAAATGCATCTCATGATGAAATCAAGATGATCTTTGACAGTGGACACCATTGTTAGGAGTGATGCTTCTGCGTTGCCTATCTGAACCATATTTAAGAAGGAGCCTAGGCATCATTTCATGAAACCGTCTTAAGTACAAGTTCACCAACATCCCATTGAAACGTGTGTTAAAATTTAATACACATGTTTCAATGGGATGTCGGTTATATTGTACTTGTCGGTTGGGTGAAATGCTGCCCTGATCTGAAATATTTCCATGTTCCAAGTCTAGATGTCAATGCAATCTTCTGTTAAGGGCCTTCATGTAGTTCAGTGTGTACCATAAATCTCTGTGTATAAGGCGCACCCCTATTTTTGAGATTTAAACAAAAAACAAAAAAAAAAAAATTTGTTTTCCTTTTGCGTTTGCTTTTTTGCCGACACCAACTCAATGGTCCCTTATTTCAGCGTGCGGTCCCGTTCGGAAACCAAAGCCATGATGCAGGGAATTAGGAATAGAATAGTAAATGTTGTTTTTAAAACTAAAGATGACAGAAAAATTTTCCTCCCGAGTCCAAATCGAAATTTAGACAGGCTAGTTTTTGAGTGGTGATTCGATATACCCCGTGTTAGTGAGCTGCATGATACAGGTGAGTGAGCTGGAGACACAGGGGAGCTTTGGCCAGCAAAGTGCTTTGTGAAGGGGCATAATTTATCGAGACTGAAAAAAAAAAAAAAAAAAAAAAAACTCTCTTCCCTTCAAATTAAGAACGCAATTTAACTTAAATAGTAGATCCTATTCTTTATTTGCATTATGTAATTCATGTTGAGACACAGAGATTTTCGGAAACCACTAAAAAGTAGCATTTTGAGAACTCAAAATATCCTGTACCTGTGTATTAGGCGCACCCCCGACTTTCGATTTTTCCCCGACGGAAAAAAAGTGAGCCTTATAAACGGACATTTACGGTACTATAAGTTTATAAATGACAGGGAATTTTTTTTAATTTATCCTTGTCATCAGATTCACAAGGATTCATATAGATAAAAAATTCAAGTCTTTGCATCCAAAGAATTCCCTAGGCTTCTGTTACTTTCCTAGGTTTAGTGAGGCAATCAAAGCCTTGATTAGATTTAGAGAAAAAAGTGAGTTGAATGTGAAAGTAAAAGGTCACTGTATTATCTTCCTTTTGTTCTATAACTGCAGCTTACTCAAAATATTTTATTTGTAATGTTCATCATGCGTTTCCATATGCAACTCTTTCACGATCAGAAAATGTTTAAACCAATGTCCGCAGACCCTTCCCCTTTTGCTCAACCATTCTACACACACACTACACACATGGCCTCATCCCCAACCACTCCATTCAGTCAACACCTCCCATAATACCCTGCAGTATAACAAAATGTGTCTACCAGGAATGCCAATTTTAGGCAATTGCCTGAATTCAGGCCGTGGCAAATTATTTTCAGACCATAGTTTAGGCTTTTTTGTGTACAAAATAGCTCATTCTAGATGTTGTGACTGAGCAAATGTTTTCTGGTTACCTGTTACTGTGGGGACATATGCGAAAATGAGCCTCAATGATGTACAAGTCATTGGTGCTGGTTAAAGTTGATGATTAATGGCTGAGTACAATCACAACATGAGAATTATGAAAGACAAACATTTTGAGACAGGGGTCATTTTGAAACATCGCACACTTATTTTATTCACAAGTCAATAATATCACAAGTTGGTAGACAATTGACCATTTGAAAAGTGAAAATCAACGAGAAATGCATATTGAAGGAAGCTTGACATTACACCAAGGCCCAACCTTAAAAGTATTGTGGTTCATTGATCTAGGCCCCATTCCATATATTTTTTTTTTATCGATAACAAGTGTCATATTTCTTTAACAAATTTTCTCACAGCCAATGAAATGCAACGATTGCACTAGCTTGTAACAGTTTTTGTAACTCGTTATTTCTATCAAGTTTCATGAAAAGGTCATCATTAAATCAATTACAAATCTTGTTACTTGGATCAACTATAACTCTTGAAATTGAGCCCTGGCATTCACATTCCTGAATTACTCAATGGAAGCTGACATACTGGACATAATTGCACATGTATTAAAAACATAACTTCATATAAAGTCATTTGGAATGTACCATGAAAACAAAACATGTATATCATATAAATGTATCTAATGAGATTTATCAATGAATTGTAAAACATTTTCATGCCTGAGACTTTCGGATGTAAAAAATGTTAATTTCAGCTTGGTTTTAAGATCAATTTTCTTTTTTAATTCCTCTAACTTTTATGCATACAGGTACTGTAATTTTGCATTTTTCTGCTAATGAATTCACAGATTTATTATCTATCTGACTTTTATTTTGCATCTATTGAAAATGATTTCAGCTTAAAGAAATCTTTTGCATATTTGGAAGTTAATTTTCAGAAAATATTATTTACCAAGTCATTCCATTATCACATGTTTATTCTTCACTGTATAACTAACAAAGATTTGCACTTGGGTCATAAAGCTGCATACTGTACATAACACAATCACACTATGGAAACTTTCCTATTAAACATTACCACAAACAAAATATACAGATCATACTCAACCATCTAAAATAAATATTCACAAATGGCAAGAACATATATATATATATATAAATCGTACAAAATCAATAACACATCAAATGGCAAGCACTCTTTAGTTTTCAACCCTTAGTCAGATGAGCTCCTCAAAGTGTATCATATATTTAAGGATCATATGGACTTCACATAAAATCCAGGTCTACTCTTCAAAACAAGTGACAATTTCATTACTACAAGTACATGTAATGACTTGGGAGAATGTGTGATATGTACTATGTGTCAGTGCATGCCCATATCAGTTCATGTCAAGTTGGCACATTATTTCTTGTTTGTTTGACTTCTTCAGTACATAGTCAATGACAAAACATTGGATTGATATTATGGAAATGTAACTACAGTATATAGCCTACATGTAGTTTATTTCTTCAGGCTCAGATTGGGCATGAATTTTTAGAGTGATTTTATTTAAAATAATTTATCATTTAACTAAAGAAAACTGATTTATTTCTATAATAGTAATAAATATGAAGTGTTATCATCAAGTGATTGTCTACAGGCTGTTCACACTGAATGTGGAACCCCAACATTAGACAAACCTAAGTATGTATGCATGTATCACAGCCTCACGTGTTACTAAATTCAGTATGAACGAATGCATTCTGTGCAAAATATTATTTATAATATTTATTCATATTCATTAAGTGATATGTAAAGAAAGACTGAAGCTGTGATACAATTGAGAGACAATGGCGATTCAGAGTGAAAGCACATCAGTTACCTGAATTCAACATAATATAGAAAAAGATAGGCAGTGTGTCAGCATTCACATCACATTATACGATCCTCATGTAATCCATTTTTTGAAGAAATGGAAATTATATTAGAAATCTGAACTAACATCATAACCCTGATTTACAAGTAGGTTATAAATGATATAATATACTAACTACCAGAGTTTTAGTGCATTTCTAGTCAGAATAAAAGCACAATCAGCTTCAAATCGTAAACATTTGCACCACTGGTCTGTCATCACTACCTTTCTGAGCAGATTTAGATTTTATTATGACTGATTGTCAAGTGTGCTGTAGGCTTCATGGACAAAAAACAGGCTAGCAATATGATGTACATGTATCAAATATACAAAACTTTGAAAAGGCAGTGAGTATATTTAATAGGGCTATCTACTCTCCAAACAAAACAAAGATTTATTCTCGAACGTATAAGTTCGTCAACATATGCCATACTAAACTGACATTCGCTTTCTACTGGATACTCATTAAACCCCAGGGTGGAGAGGAGTAGACAAAATGCCTTGCTCAATGACACAAGTGCCATGCCAGGAATCAAACCCACGACCTTTGCATTCTCAGTCGACTGATTAGACCACTTGACTACATTACACTTCCAAACTCCCCCTGTAAATGACGGCATATGCAAACGAGGCTTTACTGTAGGAGCTGCATAGAAATTGTGTTGCTACAAGTCAATGAAGTCATTGAATCTACACGTGTATCATGAGAAAGTTCTTCCATTACATTGTACATAATCTGTAATTTAGTATTTCACTCAAAGGATCAGCTATTGTAGTGCTGAGCAATAGTGATTACACAGCTATGGCACTTCAAATATAATATGTAAACATGTACTTCTAAACAAACTCAATGTAGCTACATGTTACATATAATATAAGCAATTTATATGCCTTTATTTGATGTACAAGACTGTGCAATTATTGAAATAAATATAAAAAAGATGCATATACACGGTTGTGTTCACTTGCACTTCTTGTGTGTTTCAATGAGAAAGACTGAGAGAATACTGTTTAGTGGCACTAGGAGAAGAAAGCAAGATTACATGCATGGAAGCAAAAGTACTACTTATTTATAAAAAAAATTGTTGATACATATTAGGGGAATATCAATCCTCGTTAAATTTGCCATACAATATTTTTTTCACTTTATTCCTACTTGCAAGTATTAACCCTTTAATTATTAAACTGTCATGTGTAGTACTTTTGTACGGGTTGATCAATTCGGGTTATATATTGTATCTTATATTTAGACATTCAATCAATCAACTAGATTGGTTGCATTCATATCAATATTGAAGCCACACCCCAGTCTACTTGTTCGGTGTAGAGCACCTTGAGAATGAGTTCAACTGATCTCTGAATGTATCCAGACACCAAACATGACTGTCTAGTAGATCTCCTGCCTCAGACATGTACGACTGTACATCCTAGTGGGAAAAAGACAAAAAACATATGAAAGCATGAGCATTTAATGTACACATGTTTTGTCAATGAACGTATCAATTCATATACAATAGATGATTCAAAGATTTTAGGATCAACTAATATATTACATATTGCTTCAGTAACAATTTTTTTAAAAGTTTCATTACATGTCACAATTTCTTTTTGGTGTCACCATGTAATTGAAGCACTGACAGAAATGGCTCAAAATTCCTTTTAAAGACATTTACAGTTCAAACTGATAAAGATAAGCTACAGAATTATTAATAAATACTCAAGAATGGCAATTTACAATTAACTATAAATCTAAGGCCCTTTGCATAAAACTTGCCATTGATGGTACCTTTGCCATCAAAGGAAACTACCGTGGTAGCAGGGCTCAACAGCTAATCAAAATCAAGGTTTCCATGAAAGTTACCATTAATGGCAAAGTTACCATCAATGGTAAGTTTTATGCAACCGGGCCCTGCAGAGAAATCTTTGATTTGGAAAGTATCTAAGTTCTCTCACCATTTGGTTACTTCTAAGCTGTGCAATAAGACTCCAACCTGTCTCACATAACCTCAGAGTTTCCTCAAGTTGCTCTGCATGTGCTGCCAGTAACAGATCCCTACAAGAAAACCAAGTAATGAAGAACTATGAGTAATTACCTTTCTAGCATGCCATTCTAAAGATAGTTTTATCCATTAAAACGCATCTGTCTTCATGACATATGGCTGACTGGATCTCCAAACATACTGTGCTCATATCCAAAGAGTTGCTTAGGCATATATCAAAAGAGGGTACATATATCCTTCACTACATGTACATGCAGCAGCTAAGAACATATAAAGGTACATGCAGTCATACATGTATTTACTTTTACAAATGTAAGTATGCATATGATTCTCTATAAGTAAATGTCATTTCATGAAGTTGGTTATCTGTCTGATAAAAATATCGCTCCCTTATATTTTCTAAACATTACCAACCTCCTCAAAAATAACCTGAACCTGCTAATAGCAACTACTGAAAAGAAACTTAAAGAAGGAATACCCCTTTTCAAAAGAGAGATAGAAGTCAGTACCATTTGAGAAAGAGATAGCCTGAACAATATACAGTATACTTTAATCCTTTAAATTTTATAAAACAGCAAAGAAAATTTACACCACTTCAAGTGAAAATTATAAGAACCTTCCTAATGTAGAATGGAAGCAAAAGAAAAACATTATAATAAAATAATGAATTCAAATAATTTGTACAGGAAATATAATAAAGCAATTTCTAATTACAATGTAAAAAAACAAACAAGAAATGATAAAAGAAAGGATGGAAGGAATATAAGTGCCATAAACAGTACATGTGTATTAAATCAAATCTACAATTGGGGCTATTGGCAAACCAATGACATTGAGGGAGATCTCTTTTCTGTTTTTTTATAAGTTTTTACATTTCTATATCTACATGTAGTACATGTAATAACATGCTACTCATGCTCATAGCAAGTATGGTAACATTTTACACAACCACTCCTTTCTTTATTTTACCATAATAAACAAAAAACAAACGCAAAAATCAACAAGAGACTATTTAATGCACAAACTTAAACACAAATACACAAACAACAAAATTACCATAATTGGAACATAAACACATACAATCAATATAATTCACAGAAATACAGAGTTAATTTTAGAAATTTCTGAGCAAGACATATTAATTGTCAAACTGTATTATACAGTCTGAAAGTATAGAAAATTAGTTGTCACATAATGATAATGATGTATAAAACACCCATTCTTACTTCTGGTAATATCAGTCAAATTTGAACAAAAACAGTTGAAAAGTTACATTCAGATTCTGTATTGGTCCATTTGGAAATTCAGTTTGTCAGCATTACATAATAAAGCACATGAACAATATACATGCAATACAAACAAATTCAAAACACAGCCAACGACAATGAAACAGAAATAACACAAGGGAGCATGGATTAGCATACAAAAAATACAAAAAATTAAAAGGAACAAAACCCAAGAAGAGCAAACAAAATATGGATTTAAAAAAGAAAGGCAAAAAGCACAGTAAAGACAAGGAGACAAAAGAGGACGATGTAAAAAAAATCACGAACACATGCACAAACAACTAATATACAGGTTGTAGTTCTAAATATTTGAAAGATAGCTAATTACCTGGTGCTGTTGTGATTGTTAGGGTGAGCAGTAGAAGAATGACTGGAAAGATTACAAGTGCTTTGTGTGTTAGAATAGAGAAACGCATCAGAGAATGAAAGAATGGGTTTGCAAATATGTTTACAAGTGATCATGTGTGTAAGAGGGAGAATGGGAGAGAGAGAGAGAGAGAGAGAGAGAGAGAGAGAGAGAGAGAGAGAGAGAGGGAGAGGGGGGGGGGGGGGAGAAGAAGTAGCTATATTAATTTAAAGAGTATCTGAGATACAATTTAGGACAGAAATCAGATTTAAAGCATTTTTGAGAGAATTAGCAAAATCAAATATCAAACAATATATTCTTCCTACATGTAGGTCTAAACCCAACCCTTATCAATAGTATCACACTAAAAGTAAGAAATGAACTGCCAACAAGAGAAGCACGACATGACATGTAATTCCTGAGACCGATGTCCTTGATTAATTAAGGCTTATTCTACCATTTTAGATGTAACAAAATCTGTTTCCAAGAGATAGGAAATGTTTAGTATGCATGATTTTTCACATATTCTTTCTCCGCCAACTTCACATGAATAACTATCCTCAGCAGTTCTTCTCTGACATATGATACAATCATCTTTCCTTCATTGAATTAATGATGCTAGATTTGAAATGCAATGATTAAAAAGAAATAGCATTGGCATCATACATAGGTTGACAGAAGAATGTCAAATTCAATTTTTAAAATAAAATGTATATAGTAAAATTCTGAAATGAATATACCGAAGGAGATGTATGGAGAGAATACATGTAGCATGCAAATGTCACTTCAAACTTTCAAATCAAATCAAAACTATCACTCAGTAGAACTTGAGTTTGCCTACCATTTTGGTTTAGAAACATGTACATGTCTGAAAGAACAAAACATATACTTTTCTTCAATGACATTTTCTTCCAATGTTTGCATACAGAAGATGAGTGAAGGAACTGTCATGACATACTGCAGAATATTTCAAAGATGGATATTGCATCAAAAAGTGAGCATCAGAAAACTAAAGTAAAATGTAGCAAACACCACGTATCTAAGCCAAAAATTTCTCACAATGTATGTATGTCAAATGCAATTTAAATGAATTCAATGCTGCACATCATGATAATCAAAATAACGGCAACATGTTGAGCATCACTAAAAATTATAAGCTTATTCATATAGTAACCAATTACTATCCTTTGGGCCTCAACCCCCCCCCCCCCCCACCTCTCCCCCTATGCACACACGCACAAAGTAAAACAAGAAAATAAATTTGGTTTTAATTTTGTAAGGGGCAAGGTAAAATGAATCGCATAGATATGATTTATGGGTCATAATTACCTTGCTCGTTCAGCAGCAGAGTTTTGTCTCTGGTATTCTGGTCTCTGAGGAGGTTTAAGTGTAGGGCTGGTACCATCTGGCTTACCGTTACAGCTCTGCCTATTAACTGACATCGTCATTAGACTGCCATCACTCTTGGACTTGGTGAGGGTCAGACGAGGTGAGACTGGAAGTGCAACCTCCTCACACTCATTTCCTTTGTTTTCTTGTCCAATGACTGCTTCACGGGCTGGAGTGAAAGACTCGTTGGTCTCAGAGGACGGGTTTTGGGAACCTTTCCCGGGTGATTGGATGGTTGAGAATGACAGGTGTAAAAGAGACGAGTCCAAAGATTCATGCTTAAATGCCTTTGGAGTTGATGATACTGCTGTTGGTTGCTGCCCTAGTCTGCTCTCTGCTGGGGTGGCATAGTTCGTACTCTGGGAATCATATGGAGAGACTGGAATGTGACTTAGTGCAGAAAAGAACTGCTCCTGAGAAGAGCTCTGTTTCCCTTGCTGGACAACTGGTCTAGAACCATCAACAGAGCCCTCTGCCCATGCTGATCTTGTCTGTGGATATCCAGTTTGTAAAGACTGCACTCTGACATCTTTCACATTACTCTTGCTTCTGTTGTGCATTTGTAAATTCTCTGACCGGGTCTCCTGGAGAATCTGAGGAGACAATGCATCTCTAAGTAGCTCTCTTTGAGAGAAGCCTGAATGATGTAATTTTTCCTTGAACACATGAAATGATCTCTGATTATCTGAACTATCTGTCACACCGCTTCCAACCCTGGCACCAGTGGCATCAACACTACACCTCACATCCTGTGTTTGCTTCACCTTCCTCTTCATAGGGGATTCCTCACTCAATCCTTCTGGTTCTCCATTTCCCGCACCAAAAAGTTCTTTCCTAGCACTGATAGAAGACCCGTCCGCTGTTTGTCTCCTCGGTGATTCAGCTGGAAAGACCTCACTTCCATGGAATTTATCTTCTGATATGACTCTCATCCAAGGCTCTGACCCTGGTTTGGGAGTTACAGGTACAGGAGACCGTTGAAGTGATCTCTCTATCTCTGCAAGAAGCTCAACTGTGTCATCTGACCTACTCGATGGACGAGATTCAGAGCTCGGTGTTCTAGTCCTCCTCCCATTCTCTTCAGAATAAGCATTGCTCTTTGAACTAACTCTGACTTCTTGGACTTCCTCTAGCTGCAAACTAGATGTAGTTTCATTCTGGCTATCATATACAATGCAGTCTCCAATAGAAGACTTCTTGTCAGATCTATAATCTTGCTCTTGGCCATTGCTTGTAATATCACCATTACTTTGATGTCCAGAATGATTCCTAGGTGTTTCGATCTCAGAATCCATATCGGGAAGGTACCCACTTTCGATGTCTTCTGGGCTCCCTTGTTGCAAACTATACCTAGGATTGGGTACATCAAATCTGTATGGAATATTGACTTTGCCCTCATCAGCAACTTTCTGGGCCCATGTCCTCTGATCGTCATTCTTTGGTTTCTCTTTGGAGGGACTCTCTACATACCTTGGGTTCTCAAATTCAAGTTTCTGAGGAGTAGGAGTAAGTTTGGAAGGTGAAGGTACCTCAGTTTCTTGCTGGTTTAAATCCCAGACAGGGAGACTGCTATTCAGGAAAGCCTTTTTCATTCTTGCTCTCACCTCTGGAGTTCTCTTGGAAGGGGTCTCGTTGCCTAGAGACAGGTTCATATCCTCATATCTGCTCCTGTTTGCACTGGCCCTTATCTTCCTCTCCTCTAGGGTTCTGTTTTCTCTCACCTTCACCCCTGACTGAATCACTATCCTTTTCTCCACTGACTTGCTCCCAGAGGCATTTGAGACCTGCTCATACTTCAGCTTCTGCACCACCGCCACATCACCTCTGTTCCTCTTCTCTGCTTTGCTCTGCCCACTCATCATCAAACTTTTCTGAAGATTATGTTGCGATGCAGATTTTTTCCCAGCAAACTTGCTACTGGATTCAGCATGGGTAGGAGTCTTGGTTGGAGAGGTATCGGGGGCACTCTTTCGTCTCGTTTCCATTCTGCTCTTACCAGTGCTCTTGCTGGGCGTTACAGTGCTATTCTTTCTTTGGCTCAAATCACCTTTCTTCTTTGGGGAACCTTTAAGAGCAGAAGATTTCTCTTGCTTGGATCTCTTGGTCTTTTGTGGAGTTGATGTGCTACCAGGACTGAAGTTAGATGGTGTTGGAGGATGCTTGGTTGCTATGGTGATTGAAGAATCAGCAGCAGGACTGTTTCCAAGTCCTCCTTCTTGTTTCAGCTCTTTCACTCTACAATATAAGGGAGAAAAAAAACTTACTTTTAATCTTAACTATATGTCATTTCTTTGTACTTATTTATTTTTTATTTTTACAATACCGGTACTTATAATATTTGTCAAAAATAACAGTTAAGTTTTGTAACCTTAAAATAAGTTTATTGTAAAGTACTTGTTTGTTTAAAGGTATTTTCATTCCCTATATTAATACACATATATGTCTTACTGTTACTTTATAGAAGGATTAATAACAGCTGCCTCTAAACCTTCATCCCACAAAATTAAAATACTAAATATAAACTTATAGATGAGCACAGTTAACAAAAAACAAGCCAAGTGACTGAGCAACAAAACACTACTTGAAAATAGCCTACCTATCTGCATATCTGAGTGTATTGAGAGTGTGGTCCACTGCGCTAGCATTAGGGGCCACACAGGCAATCATACAGGTCCGAGATTGACCCAGGAAGGAATCTCTAAGCACCTGGGTCAGCTTACTCTGTCTGAATGGGGTGTGGCGTTTCTCCTGATCAAGAGCTCGTATGCACTCCTTGAGCTGAAACAGGAGCAAATCATACAATCTCAATCAGACACGTTTGAAAACCCTTACAGAATGGTGCAGCAGGTGTTAGCACTTACGGTACCTTATTAATTGAATATTGAATCTATCACTGACTGATATATATTGACAGTCGGTGGATTATGATCTGTTATCAAACAATTTGACAAAAAAAAGCATGCTTCAGAATATTCAGTAGCCTAATATGCTACAGAAAATGAAATGCATGCTGTACTCTGCTTTGTACCTGTAACTATATTCCTTTAGGTTTTGTCTTCATGATGCCTAAGGTCTAATTGGTTCTATCAGGAGCATTACAACAACAGCAATGAAAGAAAATCCCTCCCCTAAACTACAAACAAGCAAGAACAAGACATTCAACATAATTGGTGAATGGAAAAGTAAATGTACAATATCTGTCTAATGAATGTCCTCTCCACACCTTTGTTGTAAAGATATTCTACATAAAGGGCAAGTCCCAGCTATATTTTCCCCATAAGTAGATGACCACAGATTTGAGGATATCTGATGACTTTATCAAGCTGATAGCCCTACTAGAGTTTGAATCAGACAACAAAAAAATCAAATACAATACAATTTTAAAGTCAAAATATGATCACAATTTCATAATACTGGGTAACATCTGGACATACGTTGTACCTTAGGCTTGCCCACAATTCATAAAGCTATAAAGTGTGAAGAAAATGATAAACTGAACTTACTGCAAGTAGACTGGTATTGATTTCTGCTCCTTCTTGTCTAGTGACCTTATCAGGATCATTCATATCACATGCTCGCTCACTCCCTGCTAGGTCAACAAATGAAAATCTGATATATCATGGATAAAAAGAGAATAAACACATGATGAGAAAAGGGACAAGGAAATATATAACATGAAATCGTTCAACTGACACTTTACACCCATTGTGTAAAAATAATATGATTATGATATGATTAATATAATACCTGCAGAAGTGCATACAAACAACAAATTATGTCTGCCAGAGACAAGTTGATCAAGATGAAGAGAAAAGGAATGAGAAAAGAAGAAACAGGATTTATCCTCCTCCACCCCCCTCCCCCCTCCCCCCTCCCCCCCCCCCCCCCCAAAAAAAAAGAAAAATTAAAATGAAAAGTATTTGGTAGATACCACACACAAACACACACATACTATTCAAAAACTACTTGAAATTTGGCATTTTTAAATGTCATTGCACTAAATAAAATGAATCTGGTTTATGCCTCAGTCACACCAAGGAGACCTATATCTGACTGAACACATAATCTGGACTTTGGAGTCAGTCTGGTGGTGTGACTAAGGTATTACTTACTTGCCAATCTGGTTGCCTGCTTTATCTTTGAGTTGGATCTGAAGTATAGCATGTGATCTGGATGAATCTGCATTAACTCCTGATGCACCAACTACTCGCAATCTGTTACCAGTCTCAACAATCTTTACAGGAAAATGGTAGAATGCAATTATCATGTATGTCATACAAATGATAAATATGAAGACTGCAGAATCCACTGTTTAACACAATATATCATTAAACAAAAAAATTGATATCCAAACATTGCATCAAGCTTGGTTTAAACAAAATTTAATTCCAATGAATGCATTTCAATAAATTGACTTTATTGACTGATATATATACATATATTATTTAAAATTGATAATCCAGTAAATCTGATTTGACTTATGAAAAACTAGACAGATCTTTAAGAAATGTAATGACTGCTGCCCTGTTACTTCTTACCAAGACTATAATTGGTGCGCTGAATTTATATGGGATGGCAGCTGCAAAAATAATAGACTCTCATCTAAGCTAATCTTTGACTTTGATACTCCTATCATGAAAGCTCAAATTCACAATAAAATGATATGGTGTTTAATCTGAACTAAAATACCAAAGAATTGTGACAAAAATCTAAATTCCAAGTTGGGGTTGATTAATCATGCAGTTACAGTGAAGATTTGGAATGATGAACAAAAAAATAACAATAAAGATTTGTATTCGAGTTCACTGATCCGTTTCAGAAAAAGTGGGTATGTCAAACTGAAATTTAAATCATTCTATATTCAATCCATGAGAGATAATACAATATTGTATACACTATACACATATCATAAACTAGGATAATTCAGCACTATTTTATGGAAGTGGCGACACTACACAATAAGACAACACTCTACTAATCTGCATGGTGTTTTGATTTCTTTTCATAAATTTCCAATTGCACAATTATCATGAATAATAGTGTACTAGGAATTAAGTTACTATTTTCCAAAAGTAAACAGACATATATGATTATATTATAGCATTCTTCTTGAATAATTTAATCTTGTATATTTGTCTGTCTGCCCCTTATTTTCTCATCCTCTTCCTCTCTCTTTCTCTCTCAGTAGTCTAGTATGCTCTTCTTCAATATCAATTCACAATACATAATGAAATGTATATACCAGGCATAATATTTTTTCTTGTCGGTTTTCAAGCTTTAACATGTACGTAGAACTAAATTCATTAACCGAAAGTAGTTATTCTCAATATTTATTTTTCACTCTAGGAAGGAATAGATAAATGTGAAAACAGTATTAAACTCACACAGCACTAAATGTAATACTCAATTCCTCTGATAATGAAAGTCAAAACTTACTTTTGTGTTATCTTTTATTGCCTACACACGGCTGCACATGTGCACAATGATCATTAAGGAAAATTAGCTTGTAGAGCAAGTATTCTGCTGTTCACAAACTTCACACAATCCAACTTAATTCACAAATGAACGGTTTGCACCAATGATGACTAACTTAAATCTCGATAGTGAACTTTGATTACACAGTCTCCCTTGACTGAGAGCATATAGATCGCACACTCCTCAAACACCAGTTCTGTGTGATGATGACTATTTTCCTTTTGTTTGGATAATGTAACAAGTGCTTTCATCAATCATATTAAATAAACATAGGGTCGTGGGCGGATCTCACAGAGTCTGGAGAGTCTGGAGAGTTTGAGGGTTAGGTCAACATGTGTCCAAGGTAAGGTATTGTTTGAACTGTCACTTCCCCACTTTAAGAAATTTGGAGAAGACGTTTGAAAAATAGGTCATTAAAACTAATTGTCTCATAGTTCATTTGGTTCTTTTTGTGCCTCATTACTTGCTGATGAGAATCAGGAGAACTTTAAATCATTTCAAACAAATTGTTTTATTACAAATTAAATAAAACACAGACACAAAAGGGCATTGATAATTGAATATCTCCGCACAGTAGTAATTTAAAAATAATCTGATTTCAATACCCTCATTCTCAAATCAAAACTAGACACATGTTAAACTGTATGTCACTTAAAAATTGCCTTTGGTACTTAGGCACTTTAAAGTGAGAAAATATTGAAATACTTTTCATCCATTGACTACTGAATGATTTTATTCTTTATAGGTTTGAATACAGGAGCTTGATTTCCGTAAAAATGGGTTAATACTTTTGGAAAAACAAAAATGCTTCATGTTTATTAAAATTAAATATCAATTGATGATACATGTATTTTATTTTCTAATTGTAAGTTATCATGAAACAATGCATATCAAGATGAACGTTGAAAAAGGAACTTTTAAAAACCTGTCTTACATAATTATATTAAAGGTACTATGTCCCATTAGCAGGCCCAAAAAATGAAAAAGTTAAATTCCAACTGCATTTGAAAGATAATACTAATTTAGAACTTCCCTAAAAAAGGTGGGGCTTGAAAATGTCTTCAAGTGGGTAAATAACGACTATTAGTTGTCAAATCGACTTTTGGGCTATAGAGCCCAAAAGTAATAGTCTTAATTTTCAGACAATTGTACCGAATGGTCATACGTTTTATGCTGCGCAAAGATTCAATCAGTTTAATCTTGGCCATCACAAGAAGTAGGTTATTGATGTAGACAAATGCTCATGTACCCTTTACAACTCTTTTCATGTATGTTATTACCAAAGAAGAAAAAAAGCCAGTCAGTCACTCAATAGTGTCTGACAGTGAAGTCTAGCAAGTAAACAGGTTTCCTTGCATAATTTGAATATTAGGACACTGCTAACATTTAAATTTCAAAGATAGGATATACATGACATATTCATAATTCCTGCAAAGTTCTACAGCATTTGAGGTCGGCTGCAAAAGGGATATAGTACCTTTAACTGTAGCACAAATAATCATTTAATATCACTAACATCAAAATCATCATCATCACTGCTGTAACTTCTAGCGGTATCACCACAAATCAACCTGCCTGCATTATCAACAACTTTACTACACTTTCAATTCCATTACCTATATTCATGTATGGCTAGAGTGCTTATAATGTCATTGCAGTGCCCTTGTCTGCACATACATGTAGCATAACTGTGCAAATCTGATAAAACAAAACATGCACTAAACACAAAATTTTAGTCTCTGTGTATAGCAATACCAATTTGTATACAGATGTTTTTAAAATGAGTCAAGAATATTGAGAAAAGTCTAAGTTCAGTAATCTTATTCAAAAGCTTTGAAATGCTAGTTATCAAATACAAAAAATCCTAACAACATGTAAAATTATGAGCTCACAGACATAGGAACGTTAGTTTTTGCAATGTCAAAATGAAATAGCTGCCTTCTCTTGTGAAAATGACATAGCTCTCGCCTATATTTCGATGAGGGTGTAGGCATACTTTACTCTTTAGAATGTAAGGTACATTTATAATGTCAGATTACGCATGACAGAAACGGTTAAGTTCACAGATATACATGTAGGGTTCGCCATCATACTTTTTAAGATAAAAGTAGAGATTCTTACCTGCATGAGAGCCTGAGGTCCACTAACTTTGATCTCATTCAAGCCTGAGATACACACTTTATGATGAGCATTCTCTCTTGCATGTAATCTGTGAAGATAAAGATCATTGCATGTCTTAAAATATGAATTCTCTTTAAACATCTGTTACTGTTACAGATATTGAAGTTTATCATTAAAACCAAAAATAATGGATTACTTATTTATCATCCATAATTAATGCTATATATCCTGTATTTGGAGCATGCCAACATGATATAAAAATATAAATAATAAATTTAAATTCTCTCCCCACAGTGATAAAACTGACTGCTAAGTTTGCTAGTTATCGAATCTACAATAGTTAACACACTTTACCTTGTATTAGACACCATGAATTGTTTTTGTTTCGCTTGTTTGTACCAATATATATGTTTAATTGTTTCCAATGTCCATCATGGCAAGCTTTTAATTAAATTGTGTAGCAGTGCAAAAGATAATTTTTTGCAGAAACTCTTTTTTTTTATTCTTAAGAACAAGCTGCATTTAAAAACAGGGATTTCATCGTTTTTATTCCAGCATGTCTTCTTCTTCTTTTTTCAATGTTCCAAAGCTAAATTGCATCTGCTCCCATGCATTGTTTTACTGAAATTGTCACTGTAGGCTATATTTTACCTTTCTCTGTTATTGAGTAGATCACACAGCTGCCCACAGTAGATCTCAAAGTAGCTCACATACACTGCCAGACCATGGCCATCTGCAGATGACCTGATGATGGTGAAGATGTCTTCAGCCGCAAGTAGATAAAGACCTTTGACCTTTCCCCCTTGACCTCCAAGTAAGGTGTGAGTTTTCCCTGCCCCAGTCTGCCCATAGGCAAAGCAAGTGGCCTTACCCCTTTAAGAATCAAGAAAAATGAATTATCAATGATGCAAGTCCATAAAGAATTCATTTGTTTAAGAAGATAGTAGACAATAGACATATTCCAATCCAAGATTATTTATGACCATTTATTATAATCAATTAATTTATCTATATTCTTGTGGTGGGGGCGGGTGTCAGTTATGCACAGTGTTAATGGCCTTTATGTAAGTAACCCTTCCTTGATTGTATTAATATCATACAATCTTCGTTGCTAGTCAAACATAAATATACATTTTTTTTTTAATTCCTACATTATGCTGGGACTGTCAAAACAGCTTTCTGATAGTAACAGATCAAAGATAGGTCAATTAACCTAATAAAAAATTACTCCCAGCACAAGCATATTGACTGAATATTCTGATTAAATGCTACTTTTACTTCAGTTCCTATGGCTTTGTATTATTTACAAGGTCAGATATGATCATAATTTAAGTATACTTCAAATTCTTTCAATATTTCTCAAAACTACATGTTCTTCAGACACACACAACACAAGCTTCTGTCACTTCCTGCAACTTTGTAGCACGGGCAAAAGACATATAGAATTTTATTTGACAGGCATTCAAAGACAGAAATTCAAAACAAAACCTTTTAAAAATCAATTTCACATTTTGGAAAGAACATGTGAAATGAAAAAAAAAGAAGATATTAACACTGCCAAATTTAAACTTATCATGGATATCACAAAAAGCAAATAAATATAATATTATCTTGCTATTGTTATCAATATTTGAATGCAGCAGCTGTTCCAAATATATTTTTACACATACATGTCTGATCATATTTTGAACCATACAATGAACCGTTTCTTCATCTAAAATTAATAATCTAACTAACTATGGTGAGAGTGAGTAATGCATCTCAAGACATTTCCCAAAGGATCTCATCTAATTATGTGAATACAGAATGAGCTCATTAGTAGACCATTGGACCAATTCTCATCAGGAATGAGCCTTAAAGGATCTGATTAACTTTAAGATATAGACCGGTAGTGATAAAATTGCGGTTCAAGGGTTTTGGGTGCAAAATTTCCATTCAATATTGTTTAAATATTGCATTCAGCCGTTTAGATGGCAATACTTCAACCTAAATTCACAAAAAACAGAAATGTATGCCCAAATGTTCAATGTTGAAGTGTATTCTCGATATCTATCCAGGCCGGATCGATATGATAATTTACCAAATATATCAATTAGCAGGCGGTTTCCTGGCAAAATTTTTATTATCATGTAGCAGTCAAAACATATTCTTTCACATGATTGGTAATAAGAGCTCCCATTTCATTTTTGGGGAGGGGATATAGCGTTTCTAAAACTGGTCTATACCTTTAAGGAAAACAAGTTGAGAAATTGGTCAAAATTAGATCGGTCATGATCTAAGTTTGGGAGGAATCCATCAATCTGTTCTAATGATAATGCGATCACAAGCTATTTTTGCATGCATAATGAGCCGCATGACCTTTGACCTTGACCTCGTGACCCCAAAATCTAATCAGTTCATCGTCTCTGCAAGATACATACATGACCTAAGTTTGGCAGGAATCCATCAATCGGTTCTTCAGATAACGCGATCACAAGCTGTTTTTGCATACATAATGAGCCCTGTGACCTTTGACCTCGTGACCCCAAAATCTAATCAGTTCATTGGCTCTGCAAGATACATACATGACCAAAGTTTGGCAGGAATCCATCAATCGGTTCTTCAGATAACGCGATCACGAGAACAGGACGTACGGACGTACGTACGGACGGACGGACAACCCGAAAACATAATGCCTCCGGCTACTTCGTAACGGAGGCATAAAAACAACTTGATATGTCAAGATCTCTGAGCAGCACTTCATCATGTATGCTTTTTGTCCACATGTAGTTGTACCTTTTCATGTGATACTATGCTTTTTGCACCATCCCTATTTCAAATATTAAATTTAATGTGAAATTTGAGACTTAAGCAAGAACGCAACACATTTGTCTGAGGTCAGTCCAACATAACAACTGAATATTGGCATTAACTTGACAACTGATAAAAAAAATTGTATGGAAGAGCTCATCACTATGTTGGTCAGAGATCTATCAATTTGAATAAGGTACATGATGATTGTCTTGTTTCTCTCTTCTTCTTTTTTTTCTCTCTCTCTCTCAATCTTCTATGTAATTAGCATTAAGCATGTGAAAGGAAACACTCATGTATAACACAAACATAAATGAACAATATAACTTGTTTGTGTACATCCTAAAAGTGAACAGATGTTCCATTCTGACAAAGGATCTTCCCTCTTCCTTTAAAAATGGAATGACTTCTATTTGGCTGCAAATTAGGGCTGGGAGGTAAAATAACAAATTGAAGGATTAATGACTTGACATCAAATCTACAATTGTGAGTCACCAGCCAGACATGACTAAAGGTCCCATTAATCACTATGGCTTTATCTCTAGGCTCAGACAATATGTAAATGTTATGTACATGTAGGTACCATAGATTGTGCTTAAAGGTAGGCTTACTTCAGCATTTGACAAGTGTCCGTGAAATAAAATGAAATTTTAAATGCACTTGAGTCACGGTTCAAATGCATCTGGGTAGGTTACTACTAGTGTACTAGCTCAGAATTGAGATATTTAAAGTATAATTAACGATAAACAGATAATTGTAAATATATACATGTAGGTTATACTTTTTATAATGGAATCATGATCATCATCACAACAAATTTCAATCATCGCTTTTTCCTCCATTTTGATTAATATCAGGATGGAGACATAAACATCTTACACACAATTTCCGAATTGATGCCTGAGGGAGATTTTTTTTTATTTATCAAAATCAACAGAATATGATATATTTTTTAGTCTAGTCACCCTCTTCATAAAAATACAATTATGCCAAGGAAATGATTCTTTATTAAAAGTCCTAAAAGATAGACAATTACTATATTTTTGTAAAAATATCTGTTTAGCATGTCAAAACCATTTAACTCTTCATTCAATGTCCAAGTATAATATTTTAGCATGATTAATCAATTGTACTAAAGGAATCAATCATACATAAAATCTCACAGCGACCCTAGATGATCATATCTTATTAGCATCATTCTAGAACACAAACATAATTAATCTACAAAATAAAACAATTAGGAGCTTAATTTTACTACAGCCTGCAGTGCATATACTGTACATGTATGCATACCCATTATACACAGGCAAGGGTAGAGAAGAACACAGCTGAAAGTGAAATGAATAATTGAATTGGAACTGGAGGGCCCATGCCCTTCTGATTGGATCAATATTTTGACAATTAGCGCAGAGCTCTTCGTCAGCAAGTCACCCTTAATTGAGGGGGACTACAGAGTGACACATTAGTTTGCAGGCACAAACCCTTGTCAGTTCTAATGCATAAAAGAGGCACTGAGATAGGAGACTACAAAGAGACAGCAGTCCATAGACCCTGTAACATAGATGCTCCTGATACAGCCAGAGGCTGACAGTGTGAGGCCTGGATAAGAATTTATGTCATTGTGTTTATTAAAGTGTGCCAGCATACTAGTGACAAATAGTCAAACATTTCAAGCCTACATCAGCAAAAAGCCTACTGTAGGCTGAATTGTACATATTTTTTTAATCTATACTGATCAATTGAATATCAAACCTTTTTGGAATAAATTATAAACATTCCCCCAGCTAATTCATGATAGCATAACTCTAACCTTTTCCAACTCCAGATCTAAAATTGTTGTTGTTGTTGTTTACAGTGTAGAACTTACCTGTTGAAAATGATCTGTACAAGAGGCTTGGCTGTCCTCTCATAGACTTCTTCATTGCTGCATGTTTCATGGAAAACTTCATCAAAGTGATACTTGTGCTGTTGAAGAAAAACAGAATAAAACATTAAAACAAAATTTTACACAAACATATTTTTAAAAAAAGAATATATTTCTATTGCATACATATAAATCTCTTTTAAATAGATCTGACTGTGTGCCAGGAGAGAAAAAAAACTTAGTAAGGGCTATTATATAAGTCAGATTACTGTGTTTATCAAGACTGGACAGGTATCCATCTTTAAATTTTGCCTTTTACATATGTACACATGTATATGAAACATAATGTACTTGTATGTTTAATATGCCTCTTTGAAATACATTTGAATCAATTATAAATTGAATAGCTAATCAATATGAAAATCCTTGCAATACACCTGCTCAACTTCCTGCTTCAATACCATCCATTCATGAAAAGAAAGAAGCCTATCAATTGAAGGCTATCTTGAGGTCTAGGCAAAATTATTCTACTTATTGCATCAAGTTTTGAATAATACACAGGTAAATGTACATATAACAGCAAAAACACATATTTTTTCAAGGCAATTTTATATCTACAATCACTTTGGATTATTATTATTATTATTATTATTATTATTACTCAATATTTGGTGTCACCTGTGCCTGGGATGCAAAAAGCGAACTGAATCACTGTAACCCTAGGGTCTCTCCCCCCGGTAGAACTCATATAAGAATAGTGCAGGGGGTTCTTACCGTGCAAAGGTGGTGACTCTCTTCTACACAGTTGAACACCCATTGATATCTTGCACATGAATTTATTCTTCACCCTTATCGGTACCAGAATTGCAAGACTACTTTTTAATATGGTATACACAAAAATTCAATTTCACTGACCTCCTACATGTATATGTTAATACCATAATTCTCCTGGAAGCTTACTCTCTACGTAGCAGAAAACTCAAGTAATTCTATAACTGCCCATGTGAAATTGCAAAGTCAAATTTCACAGTTGAATAAAATTTGAAAGCAGAGTCACATATCACAGAAATACATCTTCTATGATTTCGAAGATTTTTAAAGATTGCAAGATATGAATTACACATTTGTCAGGTGTTGGGCAGGGCTTTATACGGTATTCAAGATATGTTGATCTTTCTTTCTTTCTCTCAAATCCTCATCTCTCAATACAGGATGTACAAGGTCAAGCTCGGCAGGAAATAGAAAAAAAGTCAGCTCATTAATCCATTCGATTACGATTTACGATTCTTGACATTACGGAATTGAAAACCCACATTTTCCTTGATCAAATATCGATTGTGAATTTTATTATCTGTGCTGAATAAGACATACATGTACATATAAATTGTTGTTCACATAGCACCAGTCCAGTTATAAGTAAATGATTGAAGTGGTTTACAGTGTATCATTATACCTTAGTCACACCAACAATAACAACATCAGACCGACCAACAACAGATCAAATGAAAACAATAATTTATATCTATGGCCAAGAATTGGTTGGTTTGGAGTCGGTCTAAAGTCGGTTTGTCCAGTTGGTTCAATTATGATTCTGAACTTACCATGGGAAGATTTTTGTGTGTGTTTTTTTGTGTGTTCTGTTTTTGTTTAATGGATAATACATGAAAAGAAGAAAGCCTCAAGCTTAATTACAACAGGATACAAATGATAACAACAAATACATGTATGACAAGCTCCGTGAAGTTACAGACTGTAAAAGTCAACCCAGTGGCTAAGTGTGATTTAATCAAGGCGGGAACTCAAAAGGCTATAAGGCCACATGTACATGTATAAGATAATTTACAAAGGCTTTCTTCACAATACAAACATTGATTATAGTATTATCATGCATGAAAGAGGGAAAAAAAGTCATTACCACTTGGACAATCTTTGTAAGATCCACAGTGAGTTTCCTCTCCTTTACCAGCGCTGTGTTGCTACCCTCTATTGACACAGCGTCTCCTTCTCCAGCCCTCCATTCCTTCTGGTTCATTGGTCTCTTCCGCACACAAACTTTGATCTTCTCATCCGCAGTAACACCATTCCTTGAGTGGGGTGTAGAAACAGTCGCCGACTTCATTCCTGATTTCAGTTTGTATTGGGTGGTAGGTGAGGCTGAAGGTACCCCATAATTATACCCAGAATTGCTGTGCTCCAACACCAGGACTTGGCTATCATTAACACCATTATTAAGGTTTTTCTCAGGTTCATTGTAAATGGTTTCCATGGTAACAGAACGATCATTGATGTCTCTATCTGATTCATCATCTTTATCAAAAGTTCTATTTAGCACACTATTTCTTGGCATATCACCTAGTTTTGTTATGTGATGATCGTTATGAATATTATTCAGCTTCTCGCCGGATTGTACCATTTCAGCATTCCTACCAGACAGTGAAGCCATGTTGTTATGGTGATTCTTAACAGCCTTTTTATTTCCATGGTGACTTGATTTCTCTTTGTGAGACATGGTGTAGGGTGTGCTGCTTTCAATGGATGTAACCTGTTGGTCCGGTCCATTCAGATCAGACACCTTGTTGAGGTCTAGGTTACGCAGTGTGTGGATTAACCTGTAATCAAAATAAATCAAGAAAAGACTAAACTACATGTGTGATACTAAATTAATCAGTAAAGTATACTCTTGAGTCTTGAAGTTCAAGTAATTACTATTAATCATGTACTAAGTACATTTGATATGAAGGTTTTTTTTTCTTTCTTAATTTTTTACTGGTCAGGATTATGATAGTTAGAAATAAAGAAAACATGATGATCTCGCTGCACTTTTGAAATCACTACATGTACATATACACTGTACATGTAGTCGATGCCTCTGTATTGAAAGACATTTGACCACTTAACAATACGGGTCTGAGAAAATTAAAACAGTATTACGAGTACTTTTATAACAAAGTAATAAAATAAAGTATCAAGAAAACAATCAAGATACTTGGGATCATATTGCAGGCTTAGAATTTGATAATTTTAAAATTTCAAAAAACACAGAATTTGTTTATAAAAATAATTAAAAAGGCATGCAAAGATCCAAATATCTAAATGGATAGTAATAAGAGTTTGTCTAACACTAAAGCTGCAAATGTTTTTCTTCTGTTTTTATACTATGATGTACTATTATACTCAACAATAGGTTACAATGTCATTTATGTCAATTACAAATGAACTGTGCAGACCTAAATAGCTGTTTCTTGTCCTGGGATGACGTCACACCATAGCTGTTGTACTCCTGCATGGACAGGGTTGCTAACGTCTCAAGATCACCAATGCCCCCACCCTGGAAAGATGAAGAATAGTGGTCCAACTGAGCCTCCTTGAGGCACATCTCAAACAAAGATCCCCCACTAGCCATGGCCGCAGGGCTACAGATCCAAGTCAGTCACAGTCATGCCACAACATGCAGTACATTCATGTATATCTACAGAGGCATGGGCAAACAAAGAGGATATATATGGTACATACAGTGTGAGGTAAAAACAAGTTTACACTTAGAAAATTGCTAATTATTATAAAAATCATCTATGGATAGTAAATTATTATACATCTTATGAAAGAGTGTTTTATCCCAAATCATTTGGTACCATTTTTGTGTGGTATGTGTTCACGCTTGGATGAACAGGAGGCATTCTTTGCGAAAGTGCAAAAATCAATTTGCGCCAAAGTTGCTTATGTGATGTTTGAATAAAATTTGAGTATTAATTCAGTTTTTGCAGATCTTTATCCAAATAACATCCCTAACAAAATAAATCATGCCACATAACAAATATCAAATATCAAAGAACATTTGTGCATGTGTGTGTGTGTGTGTGTGTGTGTGACTTTGCTTCTGCAAAAACCATATGCAATGCATTTCGTTTGATACATTCAACTCATTCTCTCACTCCGCTAATCCCAACATAATACATGCTGTAGGCATCACTTTGGCGCAAGTCAATTTTTGCACTCTCGCAAAGAATGTCTCCTGTTCATCAAAAAAAAAAAAAATTAAAACCTAGCAATTATTGACATTTGTTATCTATCCTTTCAAATCACAGACTTATTTTTTCAACAATTTTTTTTCTTCTACAGAACTTTCATGCAACATTGAACATCAACAAACAACAACAACATTTTTTAATATGACATTTTTCATGTTTTCCCCAATTTTCTTAAGTTCTAGCCCAGCGACTTCTGTCTAAGTTTGTTGTAACAGGTCACATGTAGGGTTGGTGCTACAAGTACATCATCTAAATATCATTTTTTTCATTCTCACTGGAATTACATGATATTGAATGCATGTTTGTAATTACAGAACCCTCTGTTCTAGGGAAGGAATTATAGTAAGAAAAAAAAAGGTCTGAATTGATTCAAAGACCAGTCTCTATTTTTCTAAGAGGAAAGGAAGGAAATGGATTTGTGTGGAAGCAGAAAAATACAAAGGAGAGTAGAAACTTTACACAATGACAAGTTTGACAACTACATGTATATGCAGCTGCCATTTCAATGCTTCCTTTACAACCACTTCCACTTGTGTTTCTGATCTGACTAATCAAAGACTTCTATGAAATGAATTTCCATTGAGTGCATTGCCCTTCAAAAATGAATGCATTGTTACAACATTTCCAGATCTATACATTTTTAGTGAAACAGAAAGGTAGTTTGAGAAAATACAGGATTTTCATTGATTTTTTTCTTCAGATGGAGTAAAAGAGGATTCCTTATAATAATGTTTAAATCTCTATGAATTCCAATGCACTCATCAAATTTTAATCAGCATTACCCACCACCCATAAAATATATTGATTAATACTTAATACGTGCTTCTCATAATTTATCTTACCCGCTTATATTATAAACACTGTCAAAAACAGTGATATGTTTTCTCCTAAAATCACACTGATTTAAAATGAATTATTCTATTTTCATTTTGTATTTTCTCTTGCTTTTTATATTCTATCTACTCCAAACAGGTACAGTAAAAGAACATAACACATACATGAATTATTAACTACATGTAGTTTCAGTACTGGCAGACAGTGAATGCAAATAAAATCAATATCTACCTGAGAGGCATCAACAAGTGGTTATGATGAAGCTTACACCAATAAGATAGTCGCTCATTCTATAGCGAGTCGATGACATCCACCAGTAGCCTTGCAATAACCCTCATCCACTTGCAAGTTAACAATGCTTTTTTTTCTTCACCTCCTAGTCGGGCTTGGGTAGTCATCCATTCACATCTTAAGGACTTGTGTGATTATGCTCAAATCTAATCTGGGAAGATTTTAAGGGAAAGAGGAAATATCTTCTTCAATACCTGTTATTGACTTAAAATGACACTGGTTAGAAAAATCTCAGGGATTGACTGCATGTTGTCTTTTCATTTCTGTTTTAAAATTATAGTTTCCCTTCGATCGCATGTAAACACAAACAAACTTTAAAAGACAAATTTTTGTCAAAATATTGTATACAGCATTTTTTAAATAGTAATGCAATTAGACGAAAGGGTTTCATAGTTGCTACAAATTCATTCAAATTCAATTCAAATGAACGTTTATTTTCTTCCATTCAATTTGACAACATATTTGATATCTGTTCAAACAATATTATATGTAGGAACATAAATATAATTTAAAAAGTTGTATTACAAGAAGAATGAAGAAGAAGAAGAAAGAAAAAGAGAAACGTGATTTGAGATCTTGTTATCAAATAGTGATCACAAGGTTGCTTGTTCCTCTAGCTTTCATGATAGAGTATACTACATCATGTACAAAGAAAAGTAAGCAGTGTATCATTTGTGTGAATGGATTTATACAGTGTATCAATCAGATATGACCGACCTTAAATCATTTTCGATTACAGGTCTGATCAAAATCAGTTTGTAGATGAAGACAGAGAGCTGACCATGGACATTACTGCTAGACCAACTCACATCCTAAACTTGAGTTCGATGCAGGCTTTATGATGCAAGTGCATATGGATGAATTGAGTGGTCTACTCTCAATTCGCTTTTATTTAGAGTCTATTCAAATTTGTAAAATCTCTCTACAGAAGTACTAGTATTTGAGGTTCATATTTTGAATATTGTATCGCGACATGGCACTAGTGCATACGAGACAATTTTTGTGTGTGAGGTTGGTAGTTAAATAATAATATCAGTCCCTCAATTTAGATATATATATCTAAGGATTATTCCTTATGCAGTGCTTAAAACTTGTGTGACTGACATAAACTGAAAAAAAGGAAGAATGTTATATGTATTCCAGATTTGAATACATTTTAATGACTGTCTGTACATAATTACCACTACTGTGAACAAAAATGTCAAAAGTTAGCAACACACTCATTAAATCACCCATTATCTTTCCACTCAAACCATAATGTCTCTTGTGATAGCACATAAGTTAAATCCTGATTGTCTCCATAAAGCTTGGCTTAACAAAGTCCTTCTAAGCTGATCAAAACACTTTCTTTCTGTCCATTGATGTCACTGGCATAGTGGCATTAGGAACTTCCATTGACAGCATGAATAGACTTTACAAGCTAGTACAAGCTAGTAAAAGCCATGGTCTGTGGAATAGACAGTTATCCACCCGGAAGAACTATTTACATTGCAAAAAAAAAACAATTCAATTTTTTTTTTTTTTTTTAAACTACGATTTTAAAAATGTCGATGTTTGATAATTCTGTGGGGTTTTTTATTTTTGTGAGTAGTGTGCATGCACTACTTTTCGCTCATCTGTTTGTGTTAACATAGAAACAAGGAGATAAGAGTCCCATGACCAAAAACTGGAATAATTCACTGGTATTTTTAGAGCATTTACACCACAAAAAACGTTGGATTTTCTGCCGGCGTAAAAATATAAAAAGACACTCCAGAGGTGGATTTTTAATTTCTGGCTTTTTATGTTAATTGGGTAGTTTCCTTCCAACTTCTGACAAAACTCTGAATAATGAGAAAAAAAAATATGATGATTTAAAAATTACAAAATTATTGCAGTGTAAATGCTCCTTAGGTTAAAAATTTTCATAGGACATGAAGGAAGCCTAAATTTAGAATTAAGGTGAGTGACGAAGCCATTGTTTTGTGAATGAATGATTTTTTTTTTTACTGGTTCTCAACAACAACAAATTACATATGGAGAATAGGATAAAGACCATTAAAAATCCAAGTCTTCAGTAAATTTTGATCATGGAGCTAAAGTATATAGATCCACAGTTCAACAGAAATTAACTGGACTACATGTATATGAATACAATTTCAGCTGAGCAGCTGTTTTGTAGAAATGTGGATTTCCTGGTCATTGTCGCATCAACTGGAAACCATGGTTGCTTGCCAATATCAACATATCGAGTTGTCAAAAGCAAGGACCCAAGAGTATAATATGAATGAAGAGACTTTTTCAGCACCTACCTAATTGATTGGAAGGAGAATTAATTCTAGATAGTTAATGTTCATGAGCCTCTCTATTAAAAGTTGTGTCCACATACACCTGTAGTAAGATCATAATATACTCAATATTCATGGTTCTCACTTCTCAGTTATAATTAAAATTTGACATTTTGACATGGTTATAAGAGTACATTAAACATTTGGCAGCATGTCTTAGAATGGGGGAATAACATAAGTGAAAGTTTTAGGGTGAAAAAAATCAAAACATTTAGAATTTTAAAAAAAAGGAAATAAATTTTGATTTTTTTTATAAGAATGCAATATACAACCTGTATGTATTCATAATTATTATGGCATTACTAAAGAGGGAGATATCTTTCCATTGAAATGAATATTCATTTTAGACAAACTCCCTGATACTGAATAGGCCTACATGTAGAGTGTCTAACAATATATCCATCTGCTTTGTGCTCTTGTATGTTTTTTCAGGATTCTTTTTTTGTTTGTTTAATTAAATAATAATTTCATCGAGAGTCTATCCAAAAAAAAGATATAGACTAGACCCATCTATATAATTTTAGAAAAAGTTCAATTCTTTAGATACATGTATTTAGGCAGAAGTATGGAACCAAAACAGTTACACAAAATACATCTCAAACTACATAATCAGAGACGTTCATGTATTTTGTATGTCAAATTCAAATTATTACAAACTGTAGGCTTAGAGAAAAAAAAACAAAGGTAAAAACAGAGTTAACATACCTTTCACTTACTTACTTACTTGGTATACTTGGTAGATTAGCCCTCTTTTCCTAAGGAAAGGGCTCTCAATTGACTCTTAAAAGTCGCCACTGTAGGTACAGACACTACTTTTTCTGGTAGGTTGTTCCAAGGTTGGACCACTCTGTTAGTATAAAAGTGGCCAGCCAGTTGAGTTCTGGAACGTCTTTGGAACACTTTTCTAGAATGCGTTGTGTAATAGCCATTAAGGTATTTGTACAAATTGATAAGGTCTGTTCTTGCTCTTCTCTCCTTCAATGTCTCAATAGGAATTTCCTTGTTACCAAGACGTAGGCATTTGGTCTGAACCTTCTCTAACTTCTCAATATTCTTCTTTGTAAGTGGGCTCCAAGCAGATGATGCATATTCCAGCGCTGGACTAATTATGGATTGATACAAAATGGTGATTTTCCTTTCATCCAGTGCAGTGAAACAGCGTCGGAACATTGCAATCTTACAGCGAGCCTTTTTAACTAGTTCATCAACATGTTCGTTAGGGGTGAGGGTATTGCTAATTATAACTCCCAAGTCCTTTTGGTTTGTCACTTCCTGCAGATGAACACCATTGATAGAATAATTGTAGTTAATAGCTGCTCGGATGCGCAGGACAACACATTTTTCAGCATTGAATTCAAGTAGCCATAGTTTAGACCATGCAGCGAGTGCATTTAAGTCTCTCTGTAGTATGTCACAATCATCTTTCAATGTTATTTGGCGGTATACCGCGGGAGTGTCGTGGTCGAGTGGTTTAAGGCGCTTGACTGTAGATGCGAAGGTCGAGGGTTCGAATCCCGACACGGCACTAATATCCTTTGGCAAGATATTTACCTGCACTTGCTACTCTCCACCCAGGTGTTAAATGGGTACCCGGTAGGATGCGAACGTTCATGTGGTTGAACGAGCAAGTGTGCGCCTGTAAAATGGCGACTGGCTGGAATGCTCCCCAGGGAGTGGAAAATGTGCACACATTGTGTGCGGGTAAGCCTGAATCCGATGACCAGGGTAATAATATATCTGTAAAGCGCTTAGGTACATCGTTGGATCGGTGTATTGAGCGCTATATAAAAAACCGGATTATTATTATTATTATTATTATACCTTGGTATCAGCAAACATCTTAGCAGTAGTGAGAACCATATCGGGAATGTCATTTACGAGGATTAGAAAGAGGAGCGGTCCGAGAATAGACCCTTGCGGCACGCCGCTTGTCACCGACCTCCATCTGCAGGTGCCGTTCCTTAGCACTACTCTTTGTCTGCGTCCAGTTAGGAACCCCTCAATCCAATTGAGAATGTGTCCACGGATACCATTGTGCTTGAGCTTGTATAACAGTCGACGATGGGGGACGGTATCGAATGCCTTTCGAAAATCGAGGTATATGACATCCATTCCTTTCGCTTCACTGTATGCTTTCGTCCAGTCATAAAGACATTCTAAGAGTTGTGTCACACATGAACACTTCTTCTGGAAGCCGTGTTGGTGACATGAAATCATATCATTGTCCACTGCATGTTCCATCAGTTTGTCATAGATAATTATCTCAAGAAGCTTTACCACTTGACTGGTAAGGGAGACTGGTCTATAGTTGTTTGGAGACAACCTGGATCCCTTCTTGAAGAGTGGAGTGATATTTGCGTCCTTCCATTCTTGGGGTATCTGTCCGGTTTGGACAGATTGATCAAATAAAATACAAAGAGGTACATCCAAATCAGGAACATTCCTTAACCCGTTCAGCTCGGCATTATTCAGCCTGATAGCCACCTCACAAACGAGATTAAAAATGGAACACGCCGTACCGTGAGACCGCTCAGCGCGCGCCACAATGCGTGTGCGTTCAAGCGGCCATAGGCTTCGACTAACGGGAACCTAGCGCATGCGCAGATCATTTGCCAATCTGGCTTTGTCATGTCGAGAACACGTTGCACGGCTGTTCTCTGCTGTGCTCCAAGCCTCTCAGTTCTTTCAGCTCTTTCGTAGGGTTTTCTTCTTCGTTATCTTTTCTTCTTCTTCTTCGCCTCATTCTTATTTTGTTCTTCTTCTTTCTCTTTTTATTTAGATACTCAATTTTATGAGAAAAATACACAATTCATAAGAAATTAAA